CAGTTCAGGCCGAACATTTTAACCCTGACTGTGTGGAACACTGTTAATGTGATTATCTTCCTTAGGACGCTAACTTATTGGGAATGATGCTTTTAGCCTCTCTTCTCAGACTCTGTGAGTCCCTGGTGATTATGCACTATACATTTGGTACTTTGGTGTTGGATCCCAGCATGCTCAGCGTTTTACACTGTGTTCCCCTAGTGTAAGATATTACGCAGTACGAGAGAACCTCTTGTAAGAGAACGTACTCGGTTACTGACGTAATCTCGGTTTTCTCTAGAAGAGGGAACGAGTACTGCGTATCTTTGCCATGGCTGCTACACGCTCTGGTTCGCTTCGGCGATGAAAAAACAGATTATATCAGCCCATCGAACTATATTTATAGGCCCAGGCCACGCACGCTTTGGTGGGAGGTGACGTAGTGGGCGCGAAGCACCCCCATTGGATCTGATGTCACCAAGGGCCTCTCTCGATAGGCTGCTGCAGTTGCCGCAGGACAGGCAATAGGCACGCGAGCCGTCTTGCCTATATCTGCATGCTGCCGCAACACATTTTACATTGATTCAAAATTAAGGATAATTTTGGCTTCAATATCTCATGGATAAGAGGTTTTCCCCTAGGGTAAGATATTACGCAGTACTTGTTTCCTCTTCTAGATAGAACTGAGGTTACGTTAGTAACTGAGCATGTTTCTAATTTAATTTAAAAAATAAACAAAAAGTTTTAAAATTTACAATGAGACCTCATAACGTAAAAATTAGTAATATGCATTTCCGATTCTAATCTATTTCTAGAACACTAATCAAAATTCAAATACAAATTGTGACATTGATCACATGACTTGTTCTGCTCAAGTGCTGCTGTAATTACAGCAAAAGACAGACAAACCAAAATACTACGACTCTGTGACATTCTTTTTTACTCAAATTGTTATGCACATAATTGAACTTGTAATGAACTGTTCAAAAATTTACAGTAAAAACTGGTAGCTGTGGTTACCAGACCAGAACGTAAAAAAAAAAAAATAAGAAAGCAACTTAAATTTAGAGTAAAAATGTATATTTAATTAACTGAAATAATTAATTTACCACCAAATTGCTAACATACTAACAACTATATATATATTTATACACGGTGCACACATTACATAGCTCAAGTAGAGATTTTTTCAATGCATAAAGCAGGGAAAATTACTCTAAACCAATTAGAAGGTTAACACAGCATTTAATTTAGTTTTGGACATTTGGAAATGCACTATATTTCATTTGATGATTTCAAAGGCTAATCAGTTAATTTTTGTTATGGCATTAAGTAACATGAATCTACTCACATATATGAAACCCTGTCTGTGGCGCACCAGCAGATTTCTGAGTAAACCAGCTTCACTGAGGTCCCCCAGTTTGACCATGTTATCCACACCCTCCACTGAGGTGGGGTGCATAGGCTTAAGACTGGCCCTCTCCCCCTCCGGGATAAGGCGCTCCTGAGAAAACCATCACAATATATGAGATTCATCTGATTAGACATGTGTAGATTAATTACAACAATAAAGAATGTGTTGTGATATGATATCTCATTAGCATACAGGAGCGAGCAGGGCAAGTTGTCATATTTTAACTCCACACTGTAAAAAAATATTGTAAGTAACCTGGTTGCCTTAAAATTTGAAGTTGATTGAACTGGAAAAAGTGAGTTAATACAATGAAGGAGATTGATTTAATCATCAGAAACTCAAAATAATAAGTTATCGCAACTAAATAAATTATTTAAGTTGATTTGACAAAAGAAAAAATTTTGTGATAACAAATCTTGAAAAATCTTTTTTTTACAGTATTTTCAGGATATATTTATTTAATTATTTTTCTGTATATACATTTATTTTTCAGTCTTGACCAAAAAATGAATAAATAAATAAATATATTCCAGGAAAAAAACTATAAACAACACAAGGGTGGTGTATATTGGCATATTATGAGGCTGTTGTCACAATAGAAATAGGTTTTTAGTTCAGTTAAACAATATTAAATAATGATTACTATTTATTGTTATTTATTTAGCACCTTTTTGCTTCACAATTAGAAAAAATGTAAAAAAGTCACATTTCCAGCGGACTACATACAATAACAAGCGTTACTGAATATGCAAAGTGCAATCAAAAGCACAAGTATCTCCACTTCTTAAGATTCTCTCAATTCTAATAATAGTGCAAAAAAATCTTTTACAGCTGAGATTTAATAATCTTCACTGACTATAGTTGAAAAATGTAAGCTATAATATTTAAACATAAGTGACAATTTGATCCACAATGCATTTATGAGAAACACCCATGTCTTGAACACAAAGATAAGAATTTTTTTTTTTTATTATAGTGGAATTTTAGTTTGGAGGACAGAATTCACAAAAAAATACCGAATTAATTACTCAATTTAAGAGGGTCTTGAACTGAGTTTTTGAAACCAGCATTTCATTCACACTAAAAAGACACTGTAACAACCAGCCCGGGCTCTCCTTCTATCATCATTTTTACCTTTCCTTCATCATCGATCAGGAAATACTGTCCACTGTCTGAGATCTTTACATATCCTCCAATAGGGACTCCAATACTGGAGTCAATCCAGAAGTAGTCCCCCTAGATTCAGATTCACATTTTAAAACCAAACACTACCCATAACCAATCTAAAGCCTTGAAAATGTCATTCAACAAATTGTTCACAAGAAAAACATATGTATTACTTCTGTAAAATAAAATAAAACATTATTGTGACAAATGAAACAAATGAATTCATTTAAGATTTATAAAATGAATTACCTTTTTTAACATCACCATTTGAACAATCCTCTTTGTATCAAAGACATCTAGTTAAAATTAAAAGCTGAAAAAGGGCTCTTAAATAAATATATTAACCGATGTAACCCTCATCGAAGTGTATACGGCTAAAAACTACGACTTGTACGAAAGGCAATCTTTTTCGTAACTGGGAACAACACACCCTTGCTGACAAGTTCCAAGAAGGAATTAAAAATCATACACGTCTAATAATAACTTTTTCATCCGCTTGCGTGACCGCAACAAGGAAGTGCCCCTAGTTTTCATCTCTTTATGGCCCCTAGACTTTGCTCCATCGGGTGCTGATTTTCACCATCAAGCGGTGAGGGCTGTGAAGGGACGTCATCACCAGTCTGAAAGTTTCACTCTTTAAGTTTCCAATGTGCTGAACTGTGAACATAGTAAGCAGTGAATCACTAGTTAGGACTTCAAAACCGAGATTCTTATGGTTTTGAGACATTTGCATGTGAAATGATGTGCATCTTATCAAACAAATCACCTATACATTAACCACACTCCACATGTGCCTTTTGGACTTTTCACGCAATAGGAAGATGGTACCAGAGGACAGTTTTATTATTTGAGTCAGAGTGGCTGTTAAGTAATAAAACTGTGAGATTCTAGAGGATAGATTCATTTACACAGTCTCAGTGAACAGATACTAGCCTGCAAAGTAATCGTCACATAAGCAGTTGTTTTCTAAAGTGACGATGATGTTGCAGGCATTGATTATGAAAACAGGAGCAGCCAGGAGGTTTCAAAGTACAGTTAAGGTCAACACAAATGCACCTTCATTTCCTGGAGGTTAATGACAAATTCAGTTTTTTTTTTTTTGAGCCTTATAAACATAAAGGGCTTAGCATAAAACAAGCTTCAGTATTAGAGCTGCCACATAGATAAGAGTAATTATTATGTTTAGGAATAAACATTTCTGTGTTATTAGTCTCCATGGAGATAAGACTCAATCCAAACCAGCTGGTTAACTGGAGAAAACAATAAATTACTTAAAGAAGGGTGGGACCAATTATTTAAGTTGTGTAGAAACTCTGAAGGTAGTCACACCCTACAAACCGATTACTTATCTAAATGCATTCAAGCCCCTAAGACAACCAGACGAGGAGATGATTTGGACAGTGATTCATTACCTAGATAAAATGGCATGTATTGTCAGAAAGGTTAAAATACAATAAGCAGCACCAGATTTTCCGTTTATTTATTTAAAAAAAAAGAAAAAGAAAATCTAGAACCTATAAAGAACTACTTGTTTAAAATAATTAAATCTCTATTTGGGTTAAACCTACATACATGTTATAAGCTTGGGGGTCAGTTAAATTGTTTTTTTTTTTAATTCTTTTTAAAGAAATTAATACTTTTATTAAGCAAGGAGGCATTAAACTGATCAAAATGTATCAGTTAACAGAAAAATATTACGCGGCACAACATTTATTATAATAAGATGTTTCTTGGGCAGCAAATCGGCATATTAGAATGATTTCTGAAGGATCATGTGACTGCTGAAAACGATACTGAAAATTCAGCTTTGCATCACAGGAATAGATTACATTTTTAAAAATATTCCAAATGAAAAATGCTTTGAATTCTCAATATTACTCTTTTTATTTGTGTTGTTTAGTGCATACTAACATGTTTTGACCAGTCAGTAAATCATAAAATAAATGTAATTGATTTTCCAAATTAGCCTTATAAAGCGTTAATATCCAACTGCTGTCATTAAAAACTGTTAAATTTTTTTAAGTCTCTTATGCTAACCAAGGCTGCTTTTATTTTTTAATAAAACTAAACAGTAATATTGTAAAATATATTTAAAAAATAACTGTTTTCTATGTTTAAAAAAAAATATATTTTCAAATAAAATCTTCTGATTTGGTACTCAAATATTTCTTATTCTCAATGTTGAGAGCTCAATGTTTTTGTGGAAATTGATTAAGGATTTAAGCAAGCAAAATAGAACAGCATTTATTTTAAATAGAAATGAATTCTAACATCATAAATGCCTTTACTGTAACTTTTGATCAGCATCCTTGATGAATAAAAGTACCAATTTCTTTAAAAACTAACTAAATAAAAAAATTATTTGGGGGAGGGATACATTAGTATCTAGATTACTGAGTTAAATTAGACTTAGTAGAAAAAAAAAATACACATCTGCAGATACATGTGCAAAGTTTCTTTACTTCAGCAGTGGAGTGCAACATGAAATGTCATTCAAAATGAAACAGAGATCAAACAGTATACAACGCTTTATCTTTGCCACAAATGACACTGCTTCAAGCAACTTAACTGGAAAAATAAACATAATATTGTTCATTTACGAAGACAGAAAAAAAATGAAAGAGGGCTTATTTTTTATATTTATATATATATACTTAGGTTTAACTTACAAATCTCTCCTCTAAATTCTGATTGACGTCATATCTGAACATGATTCTCACTACCCTTAATGCACAAAATAAATCCCTCCCCCCACCCCCAACAAAAGAGCCAACCTAGAAAACCAGCGCTTACAAGACTGATGATAAAATAAAAAAATCTTCACAAATCGACAGACAGTGACGGGAGAACGTAATATGATTCAGACATTCAGACTCCATTTAACCTTCACGGAAAATCTGCTTCCATCACAACAAACCCATGTTTTATGAGGCACACAGAAAGGCACAATACTCCATTTCACCAAAGCACCTTTAACGTTTCCCACAAATCATATGTGGTAAAATACTTCAGTCTTTGTTCATTTAGGACAGCGAAGATGGTGTTTTTATGGCTTCTCAATTCTTATTGTTTCAAGTGCTACAATACAAAATGGAAACCTTTTGGTGTGAAGAACGGCAATTATGAAATACTGCCATCTGGTGTTTAATACAGTACAGACGAATGTCAATACCATGTCATCGTTCAAGGCACCCAAATGAAAAAGTGGTGAATATAATCTATAGACTCACAGCATTGCTTTACTGATATCTGCTTATGTACAACTTTAAAATGGAATCTTCAACATCCAATAACTTCCCTAAAATAACCCCTTTGTGACCAAGTTGACTTGTTAAAAAAAAACCTTAAAAAGGTTTATATTTTAGGGAAGATACAGTTAGAGATGTTGTGGTTGTGGGAGAGGAAGGGCTTGCCAGATAAAGACGTCTTGCCATCAGATCAGGACTCGAAGTGAATCTCTTCTGGTAGAGACCGAGTGAGCCAAGGCAGTGTGCCTGCATGCTAGAGGTCATCAGGAGGTTCTGCGCTCATGCTGAACCCTGTCCCAGTCCGTGTATCTCACGCTCTGTCCTTACGCTTCAGCTTATTGAGCTTCTTAGCACTGCTGTTCTTGTTGAGCAGCTGCATGACACGCTCCTTGTGATCCAGCACCTTTAACATGGAATCACGGGCTTCCGTGATCTGGTCCATCACCAGCTTGCAGCGCTGCATGTTGCCCTATGCAGTGAAACAGTATTATGATTAAAATCAATTGTGTAACTGCCACTCAAACGTTTGGAGTCAGAAAGAATTGTTTTTCTTTTTCTTTAAAAAAAAAAAAAAGAAATTAAGATGCATTAATATATGTGTGTGTAGAATTATTTTGTATATATAAATACACACACATGCATGTATATATATTTAAGAAAAATGTGTTCTTAATATATCAAATATTTATATTTATACATAATATTAATTATGTACAAATGTATATAAAGTATGCAAATATTTCTTAAATATATACATGCATGCGTGTGTATTTTTTTATACACAAAATAATTATACACACTACACACACATATATTACGTAAACACAAGCTTTCATAGAAGACTAGAGGTATGATGCTGAAAATTTTGATAAATTACATTTTAAAATGCATATATAAACAAAAAACTGTTATTTTAATATGTAATAATGTTTTACAATATTACTGTTTTTTTACTGCATTTATGATCATATGCATGCAGCCTTGGTGAGCATAAGAGACTTTTCAAAAACATGGAAAATACATCTTAAATGACCCCAAACTTTTGATCGGTAGTGTAGTTTCAGTCTGCCTGAATGACTAGACCATTAATCAGTATAGAAAATAAGAGTATTAAGAAAACATTTTTACTTTTTTTAAGTAGTGATGCACAGATATTCAATATTCGGTCTAAATAAAACAAAAAGATCAAAATTATTTGTTTTAAATGCTACAAGTGAATCTAAGAATCACACCATCATGTACAGTATGAAAATGGATATTCATTTTAAGATTTGCTAAAGATTACATTTATCAGGGTTATTAAAAATCATACAATTTAAATTATTACATTTTCTGCTGTTTTAAGGATTAACCAAGTCAGAATTGCAATGACACAATACTGACTTATGTCCTCTAATTTTACATTTAGATTACTATAAGCATGTAATATCCAACATTGATACCGATTAATAATAATCTAATTATCCAAAACAAATCTAAAATCAGATAACTGACATTGTACCAATATAGTGTGCACATACCGATAGATCGCCAGAAGATTTAAGCAAGCAAAAGTTTTAATCTTGCTGATAACCTATATGAAAGTGACGGTTGTGGTTAAAAGTGATCAGTGGCTGTCACCTGTATGAGCTCATTTATACGGTGAATATCATCATCAGCTCCGGCCTTCTTCTTCGGAACGAGGCCTTCCTGTAGAGTCGTCAGACGACTATAGACATCATGCTCCAGATTAGTCTGCAGGCAGGGGATAAAAACACATCCACTGTTTTGACTGAATTAATGCCAGTTAGTAATGAATTAAAGCTTCAGAGAAAGTTTTACCAGCTGCATGAGCTGAGCTGCACAGAGGTGAATTTTCCAGCCCTGGGCTCTGCATGCCACTCCCTTCTGATTGGCCACATCCTGCAGGGTTCCCTTCTTGTCTTCTGATTGGATAGCACAAACTGGTATTAATGAATGACTGAAGACAGACTATATTTATTGTATTAATGCAAAATGGACAGTAAGACACTGTGTGATGAGCCTAGACAGACCCTTAACACGGATGTCGGTGTATCTCTGAAAGTGGTGGTACGCTGCTTTCCAGGGGTTGCGGTAGTGGCGCAGCAGAGTGACCGGAGGCCGAACTCGGGTAGGGACATACCGAACTCCCTCTTCATCTGCAGTGAAACAGACACACTAAATTTTGCCACAATGTCTTGTACTGAAACGGAGTTTCTTAAAGTGAACACAAATCATTACACAACTTGTGATAAGTCAAAACTACAGCTACAGTCGCACAATTGCTGCCATCAGAGCAACTGCAGAATCTATTCATCTCCAGAACAACTTACAAACTGCCAAGATGATTCTGATCTTTATCACTAAGTGGGTTTATCTTATTCCAGCCATGTTATTACATTTGGCTCCTGTTCAGTTATGTTGTGACACCATCACCATTGCCATTTCATAATGTACTACTGAGAACAAAGGTAGTGGACTACTGGACTTTCACAAGTAGAAGGCAGTGAGTCTTAAGATGTTCCATAGAGAAAGAAGTGAATTTTTTTTTTAAGTAGATTAAAATGCAAAAAAACATGAGTACAGAAAATGAAGGGTTTTTTTTTTTTTTGCATTGTGCCACATATTTCATCATTACATCTTCCCCCAACTAGCAGTAACCTTCTGCAATGTAGATTAAAATTATTTAATGTCAATTACGAAATAATTATTTTACTATTTTAATTAGTGATGCACTGATTGATCGGCGGGTGAACGGAATTGGCTGATTTTCACGTGATTGGCCAGGACCTGCGACTGGCCGGTCAGTCTGACATATGCAGATTTCATGCCGGTCAAAGGCACTCGGGTACCGCACGATTAACATCGCGCAACACTCATCGCATGTGCATCCGGAACATACATGTAGGAAACCTCGTGAATTACACCCGTTTAACAGTGTTATTCAATGATGCATTGACACTGGGAGCAGGAGCAGTACGTGAGCAGGAGTGAAGCGGGGTTTTTTTTGGATGTAGGTATAGTCAGATAACAATATTTAACAATGCGTATACATCCATTTTTCATTTGATTAGTTCAAACGCCCGCCACCCACCCGAATTTAATTAAAATATATTTTTTCCGTCACGTCATCTACGGCTTATCGGCGGAGTCCGCGGCTGTAACCACCAACCGCGCATCTCTAATCTGAACGGGAAGCGAAAGATGGCACGCAGAAGTCTGTAACTGGAGATATGAAGCGTTGTGCCTGTGGAAAAAAAGTCTATAGACACCGAAACAAGACATAATCGAAGCAGACCAGGATTGAAAAAATCAGCCTATACCCTTCCCTAAGGGCTTTTGCAGGCAGGAACGGGACAAAAGATGAAAGTTTTGGGCGAGAGCGGGATAAAATCAGACAATTCTTGGCATAATCGGTAGATTATTAGTATTTGTTGTAGAGAATTTAAGTTATGTTGATTCTAACAATATGAAATAATGAACCTGATTGTCTTAATTGTAAAAAAAAAAAAAATCTCAGATTATCGGACCTCAGATTCAAGAACCTTTTTAGATCTTGGTAACTCATCTTCAATTTATAAAAACCTTAATGAAGCTTACCGATGTATTCTTTAGGAGGGGACTTGCGTTTCTCTGGACGTAGGCTGAGGGGTTTGGGTGGGAATTTCTCCTCATCTGTGCTGTTGGTCTCCATCATCTCGCTTTCCTCAGTGGAAATGATGTGCTGTTGCTTGCGGGGCTTCTTTCTGGGTGAGGCTCCCAGGGTGACGTCTAAAGTAGGGACTGCCAACATCTGTGCACCGCTGTTTGGCCCTGATGCCACTGAGAGGGTTTGAGGTGAAAGACACTGCCTCATCAGTTAAATCACTTGACGGTTCTGGTTTTGATATGTGCATCAAATCATTTTCTTTTCACTGTTTCAGTTTATACACAATGAAGCACTGGGAAGAGTTTGTAAAATACTGGTTGAATAAATTAATCTCAATTTTAATATATAGGTCGACTACTATCTAGCATAAAGATCTCACCTGGTTTTGTAGTTTCCATTGGCTCCGCCTCTTGCTTAATATTCATCTCTGGAAAGGTGGAGCTGATGGCACATGCTGAAGTGGTGCTGGCTGCTGGCTGAGTGGGAGGAGCCACTACATTGGCCATGGAAGGGATTGGCGGGGTGACTGCCATGGCAGGGGGTATTGCTGAGAGAGCAGGAGTGGGTTGAGATGGAGGCGTGGCTGATGTCAGGAGGGAGGGGAGAGGCTGAGAGGCCAGCTGGGAGGGAGGTGGTCCCACATGTTGCGGTTGCTGTTCATTTCCCTGGCTAGGAATAACCTCTATAGCCGCAGCTACTGATGGAACGAGGCTCATGTGGATGTCAGGTTTGGACTTCACTCTGCCAAAGGGTTTGGAGATTTAGTGTTTGTAAAGCTGAGCTGCAATTTAAAACCAAGTGATACAACAAAGAGAATGATAAATTATCTCCAAATCAATTTGAATACTACATACCCCGCAGGTCGAGGTGATCCTGATGCACTCCTGATATGTCCATCAATTCTAGGGGTTGTGGAGTCACTGAGATGACTTGGGATCAGGTTCTTCCTAACTGCAGCACTTTAATAAACCAAAGAGAGAGATTAATCTTGAGAATGTCTATTTTTTTTCTAAAATGTTACAACTACTAATTAAAATATAGAAGACCGTAGTAGAAACATTTTACAGGAGATTCACATCAGCATTGTCATTGTTAAATAAAATTAAAACTATTAAAACAGTTTTAACACTGACTCCTAACACTGAACATGAAAAGTATAGGTCATAACTCATACCAAATTCAGAAAAGGAAAAAAAAAAATTTACATCTTAAAGAAAATAATGCCCATTTTCGTACCAAAATTTGGTAAAATTATTTTTTTCATTGGGCCACTATCTTAAAGGGTTAGTTCACCCAAAAATGAAAATTCTGTCAGTATTTACTCACCCTCATGTTGTTCCAAACCTCTATGTGTTTATTTGTTCTGCTGAACACAAAGGAAGATATTTGGAAGAATGTATTAATCAAACAGATCTCAATCCCCATTGACTACCATAGTATTCCTACTATGGTAGTCAATGGGGATTGAGATCTGTTTGATTAAAACATTCTTCCAAATATCTTCCTTTGTGTATAGCAGAACAAATAAACACAGATGTTTGGAACAACATGAGGGTGAGTAAATACTGACAGAATTTTCATTTTTGGGTGAACAAACCCTTTAATGATAATTAAGCAATTAGCTACAGTCTTCGTCTGTCATGTGAGTGAAAAAAGATTTAAATTGTTATATACAATTGTAAAGTTGTACTTGAATCAAGAAAGTAGTGATCTATTTATAATTGTGTCATTTGTTTATCGTTTTATAAATCATTGTGTCTAGACAAGAAGTGCATTTTGAAGTGCATTTAAGTAATGAAAACTGTTTTGTTTTGCATTACAGATATTAGTATTTGAGAAGAAAATAATTTCACAATGAAAAAAAAAAAATCATTATTTTGTGTGTAATTAGGACATCTCAATGAATGAGATATAAACTCTCTCAATGAGAAATACTGCCAAGAATGACAAGATTGAGTTTGTCATGTTTACCCTTCATGGGCAGGTTTCTTGCGCAGAATGCTGGGTCGAGGGGACGTCACAAGGGAGGGGGTTGCCGCGTTGGCACTCTGACTGTGCGTCTGGGCCACAGTGGTGGCAGGCTGGCAAGCCACTAGAGTGGAACCATCAGCCAGTACAACTGAAGAAAAACACCACTCATCATTACTAATGTTTCACTTTAACAAAGGTTTGTATGCAGTTGTTTGGAATAAACATGCAAAGAACTAAAGGTGGACCCTAATGTAAGATTCAGAGCTGATCTGAGGCTCCTAACCTGAAGCTTTAGACTCTGTTGGGGGTTGTTGTTGGTTGATTGGTGTAGGCTGAATGCTAGTGGTGGTGATCTGAGCAGACGTATGGAGGCCTTGGGCTTGAATGGGAGTGGGCTGGATGCCCTGTGCTGCCATGGCACCTGGCTGAATGTTCTGAGTGTTGATCTGGGTGATGCGGTCCACCGTCATCAGCTGCATAGAGTTCAGATGAACTGCAGATGCAACTCCTACACTGGCTTGAGCAGGAATGGCTGCACTGGGCGCCTGAGCAGTAACTGTGTCCACACAACAAACAAATATTAATAACCTAAAGCCAAAATTAACAAGTTTCCTGTGCAGGAAAATCATTTAGCTTTATCTAATATTAATGTAAGCACCACATGGTACCTGGATAAGGGCGTATGGATGACACAGAGCTGGTGATAGGGGTGTAAGTGTGGGTCAGCGGATACGGTGATGATGGGTAGGTAGGCAGGAAGTACTGAAACTGCACTGGAACAGATTGTCTGTGGGGAGCCATAAAACACCTTATTAAAAGCAAGCAGGGCAAACAGAATGAAGCTGATCTGGAGATTGCCAGTTTGCAGCCAAAAACACATTTCAAGTTTAAAGTAGGTGGAAAGGAGCATAATTGCTATACCTGTTGTCAGTGCGGTTCTCCATGGTTATGGGGTTGGGAGAGGAACGATGACCAGAGATAGGGATGAGGTTGCCCCTTTCTCCAGTGTATTCGGACTGGATACGTGGTGATATGTGTGTGTTGGGCTGTGGAACGACTTTAGCTAAAAGTGACAGAGGGGGCAAAACCAACAGATAATTCTTTCAAGCAAAAATGTAACCATTTTACAAGCAAAATATTCCTGGAAAACAATGGAAACAATTGCGCTGTTGCAAGTATGTAAAGGCATCATAGTTAGGATGTAGGCAGTGCAGTAGGTTTTCAAATGGTTATATAAAGTTGTGTTTCTGCTGAAGTATCTGTTAAAAATATGCAAACTGTAAATATTTTCAGCATTCAACTGAAGTCACTTCAGAGCAAGTCAGTTAAGAGGACCATCTTCACCATTTCATTATAATCAATGAAAATGTCACTCATGTGAAAACTTCCATTATACTCATCAATGAAGCAAACTACAATGCAACAAAAAACATCTTATTTACACCATGTCTACACTTCATTGATAACAAATCACAAAAATGCCAATTTGAGCAGATTTCATCTGTGCGGCGACTCATTTAAACACCTCATTTTGCAACCAAATCTACCTTTTCAGTGTTTTTCTTGTGTTCCTCGCACATTTGACTGTGCACACGCTGAGCCTGCATGTCCCACACTAGCAACAAACTATTTTTTGTAAATAAAGTTAATCAACACACCGCGCTCTCCCAAGTAATTATATTATGAGACCCATGTATCAATACAAAAATGCAAAAAAGGTCTGCACTCTACAAAACTTTTATTGTAAACCGGAGATAAAGTTAAAAAACTTTTTGGCTCTTTGCCTTCGTCAGTGTCGAAATTTATTGCTCGCAATAAAATATATTTAGAGTACAGACCTTTTTTTTTTTATCTGTGAGAGTTAGCTGGGCGCCGCGGACAGATGCTGAGTGGCACCTCTAGAGTGCATACACTCATTGAAAACAATGCGTTTGACCGTGGTACAACACCGTGTCGCTTCTCATTTGGAGTTAAACCCCCTTTACAATATTAGATAATAAAACAACACTTTTGTGGTAAAAAATAACCCCAGAGCAGATGAGCTAAAGGTAACTTACCCACAGGGATAGTGGATGTGGTCACTGCTGAGGCATGAGAGGAATGGGAGGCCACTGTCATGGTGACAATGTTGCTACTGGATAATTGAGTGTGGGGGGTGGAGCCTTTAAAAAAGGTGTTAAAATAACATCAGATCCTTAGTACTATAATACATCTGTAAACACAACAGTCTATGCAAAGTGCATAGATGCTTCTGAATTACAGGTGTATAGACCATTTCATAAGATGTAAACAACACTGGTCCAGAAGCACTTCCTGTTTCAGTTTTTTAACACTACACAAAAGCTGGGATAAAATACAACCAACAGAACATTTAAAACTGAATCAAAAAGTTAAACAAACATCTTTAAGATGTTTTCTTTACATGTGAAATAAAGAAAACAGTTACAAACTGAAACAGGAAGTGTTTCTGGACCAGTGTTGTTTACATTTTGTGAAATGGTCTATAGAGTAGATTTATCACCTGTTGTAGAGGGTGATGGTGCGGTATTGGTGGCCTGAATTGGAGCCACTGTTGCGGCAGCAACAGGTGTCACAGTGCTGAAAATGGGCTTCTAAGACAGAGGAAAAAAGAGGTATAACTTTCTTTATTTTTTAAAGAGGTATAACTGGGAATATCGTTTTTTATATTCCCAGAAGGACAGGGTAGAATGCTTTCAACCTGTGCAGAGTGAGGAAGGGCTTTCTGAGCAGCAATGGCAGGGTGGGAGGGCAGGGTGATCCGCGTGGGTGTGTCACGTGAGGGTGGAGGGCGTTGGATACTCAAAGTCGCTTGGGGTGAGTGGATCGTCACCGCTGAACGACTAGAATCCAGACAGACAAAATCATTTTCTACAGTTCAACTACTATAAATTCAGTGCATGTGGTGGATGCATCTTACCCGTGTACCATGTCTCCGGAGTGGGCAGCCACTGTGGTGATGACCGGAGACTGAGGTCTGGTGGCATTCACGGGAGCCACTACTGTAGGCAGAACAGCCGTAGATGTAGTGACTATAGGCCTAGACTGTAACACAAACAGATATGTATGAAATGAATCAGGCTTTGTAAACAAATCCGTGTTTAAATAGATCCCAAAACTAACCTGAATAGGTTGATGGATAATGTGCTGGACTGTAGGCTGCCCCGTGGCAGAGCTCGGACCAGCTGCTGGTCTCAGCACTGTGGTTCCTTTGGAGCTTGACATCACAGCAGCAGCAGCCGCTCCTGTGATAACAAAACAAAATCAGTCAGGGTGCCAACAAATTTGTTTGATATGAGATGCATATATCTGTAAACTCGCCTCTGGGTAAATGGGAGGTGAAAGGATGCGGAGGAGCAGCGGGGGATCCGATCTGCAGCGCAGGGGCTCCACTGCGGATGATCTGCACGTTCGTCATTAGATGATGCAGGTTACCCGTGTGGCCCTTATTGTGACCAAAAAGAACAAAACAATTAACCAAACTGAAGGTCACAGCACGTCCTTTCATCATTTTTTTTTTCAGAATACATAAAATATATCAGATATTTTTTATAACTATGTTTTTTTAAGGATGTGCATTAATTTAAATAAATACATTTGTCTATGCAAATGTTTATTTAGGCATGTAATTATGAGAGAATAATGACAGAATTCAATATCTCCATAAATTATTATTTTAAAGAAAAGAAATTCAAAACACCAGCAACAAAATGCCACCGTGTGCCATCTTTTACGTTTTACTTAAATAAAACACCTAATTATATTTTTTCTATACTAATCTAAATGAACTAGTGTCCAACAAGATATCCAACATTAAATAAATTAACAATTATCCACTGAATAAAATTATTTATCAATTATTCATATTTATTATCCTTTAATTTCAAAACTGGAAATATTTTTTTATGTATATTGTGTACACACATTTAATACAGATTAAATTTTTTGTTATGCGTGAAAAATCACAATTAATTACAGTAAACTCTGTGATTTTTATGGATAGATAACACACACACACAGAAACCAAGTAACTTCTAATGCAGCAAAATTGTTTAGATTTATCTAAAAGCATTACCAACCTGCTGACCACTGATGGTTGCCACAGGAATACCAGAGGCCTGTGGAGACTCCATGGTAGCGGTGATATGAGCAGGCACCTTAGAAGGGAGGGTGAGGTGGCCCGGTGTTGACACAGGGGCTGGAGCTATCACACGGCTTGGCATGGTCGTCTTCAGGGCAGACTGGAGTAAAGAGAAGAGTAATGTATGCAAATATTTGCCAACATTTGACATTTTCAGGGAGAAGATAAGAGGGATCAGCTTGATAAACTGATGGGATTTTAAGTATCAAAGGCCCCAAACCATGTACCTTCAGAGGACCCTCAGTGAAGGCTAGGGAAAGACCCTGTGGGAGGTGGGATGGTGCTGCTGACACAGAGACGGATGTGCCTGGCTGGATGGGGAGGTGCTGAGGGAGAGGAGGGGGCAGAGTCGGAGCTATTCCGTGGGGTAAGGGATGAGTCTGGGGTTGGGGGTAGGGTCGCACCACTACTGTCTCCTGCTTGTCATCTCTGAACGCTGTGGCTCCACTGGACATCAGCTCACGCGGAGCATGATTAGAGTCTTCATGTCCTCCTTAATGAAACCACATCAAGTCAAAATGTGTTTAATGACAAACAGGCTTGATGTACACTACACAACTGTTTAAAAGATTAGGGTCAGCAAGGAATTCATTCATCTTCAAAAGACAAATGAAGATCTTTTTGCTGAAATCTGAGAGCTTTCTGTCCCTCCTTTGGCAGCTATTCAACAAAAATAATCCATATGTATTGAGCGGTTTAATCAAAATTTTCTTATGAGACTCGATAGCTTTAAAAGATGAACAAATTGAATTTAAGCTTTCTTTCACATGCTTGACACACAGGAATCTTATTGGTTCTTCAGAAGATTTGGACTAAACCACTCGATTCATACAGATTCGTTTTACGATCTCTTTATGAACTTTTTCAAGCGTCAAAGTGGTATTTGCTAATGGAGTGTACAGAAAGCTCATTCATTCATAATTTTTCATTAAAAAGACCTTCATTTGTGTTTTAAATGAACAAAAGTCTTACGGTTTAGGAACGACGTGAGGACAAGTCATTAATAACAGAAGTTTCTTTTTTGTGTGAAGTGAACCAACCCTTTAAGGTGCAAAACTGTTTTCAACATTGATAATAATAATTAATATTTCTTGAGCACTGGATCATTTGAATGATTGGATTGAAAAGCATAACAGACTTCTTTCAAAAACAATCTTCTTACCGACCCCAAACATTTTAATGGCATAAATTAACATTTATAATGATCTGTTAAGCATTAATTAACATCACAGAGGTGTTGGCATGGGAATCTGGTTTGTTTAATACTAGTTTGTTTAAGTCAGTGCATCTTAAACCTGTATTCTTTTGACTTCCTGAAAGTCCTGTAGTGTTACTGCCTGGTGTTTGTCCTTGTCCCAGACCAGATGGCAGACCTGGACGTGGATACTGTTGAGAACTCATATTCACGACCTCTCACTTTCTTCCTGAAAAAGTACAACATAAAAAGGCATAATGCAGCATGCAATAGAGAAGATGCGTTAACTTCAAACAAAGAGCACATCACACTGGCTGCAGAATAGTACAGGATTCTCTGCAATGCTCACACACCACAACATGATCTACAGAAAATCCAGCCAATAGCTTTAGCATCGGACAGCTTTTTCAGACGTTCACCTTGCATCAATTTATATATTAACCAAATAATAATAGCTATTACATTTTAAATAACCACAAAATAAACCAATTGAAGGTATTTTCCTACATATATCAGGTTAGCGATGCTTCTCGCAATAGTGTCATCTCATTCAAATATGTCTACTTGGGTTATGACTAGGGTAAATACCTTCAATTTAACGACAAATTATAAAGTAAACTCGTTAAATCCTTTATTGTTTCTGGTCGCAGCTGACTGTAACATTACGTTAACGGTTGTCAGGACACCACAAATAGCAGCTTTTGTTCCTACATGACCTCCTGAGTTTATCATGTAGATATGTTACAAAGATATATATAGTCGAATTTAAAACAGTGATTAGTACAGAACCATATAATCGTTGATTCAATGATTAAGAATTAGTTTTAGAAAACAAAACTGTCACGGTTGCTAGTAGCCCAAAGATCTTATGAGTCATTTCAACGAGACATGACTGTTTCTTACAAATGCACGTTAACGGTCGTGATCCTGCAACTTAAGAAATGTGCACACGTCGAATACGTTATCCTAAAAGGGTTGTTGTGTTTACATATGCAAAATCCCAGCATTACCGTAAACACGACGCCCGTACTCTCCATTCACTTCGAATCCCGGCAAGCAAATCAACCATCGGTATCAACTGGGAATCTAGCTTCGGTAAGTCGCTTCCGGTCCAAATTTTCAAAACAAAAGTCCTCGAAGGTGGCACTGGTGCCTGAAAAGGATAGTTCACCCAAAAATGAAAATTCTGTCATCATTTACTTACCCTCAAGTTGTTCCAAACATGTACGAAGTTCTATGTTATGTGGAACATATATGATATTTTGGAGAATGTTTGTAACCAAATGGTTGTGGGGCATTGATTTCCATTGTATATTTTCCCTATACAATGGAAGTCAATGGTGCCCCACAACCGTTTGGTTATACTGACATTCTTGAAAATATCTTCTTTTGTGTTCAGCAGGGAAAAAACCCTTTAGGTATCTAAACATGGCCTCCATAAACAATATATTATGGCTTTGGCTTTAACAGTCTATTAGGCTATTATGTGTTCATAACAGGATGAATAATAAGTTAGTCAATGACACGAGATTGAGGTGTACAACTTTTTAAAACATTCTCTTTCATCCCAAAATGCACAAATTGTAGTAATGACTCATCTAAAAATAAAAACTATAAACACACATACTGATATAAACTAAATGGAGAATGAGCTTTAATCATGGTTCCACAGTTTCAGCCTTAAGTGTACAGTAACCTATGTAATGCACATTGTTACATATTTACATAATACTGTAAAATGAACCCATTCCCCTGATAAGGCTATGCTACTACACTAGGGAAGAAAGCACAACCAAGTGATCTACAAGAGGTTTCTAGCTTGTGCTTCATCATGTTATATGGGTTTGTATTGTATGGATTTATTAAGAGCATCTTCTGTATTCCTGAGAATAGCTGATAAAGCAAACATATAGGGTTGTGAAAGTGATAATTCATGTGATAATCATGCACAAACACGGATCACTGCTATTTACCCATGATGTAACATACAGCTACCACAAAAGTTTCACTGAAAACATTGTTTACTTTATAGCCATACATTATTGAGAATCAAAAAGGGTAACTGGCAATCGACAATGAAGAATAACATGTCAAGCAGGTATGCTTTTCAAAAAGCAATGTCATCAGACGATACGTATCTGACACAAATACATTTTCACTTGTATAATACTTCAGGTGAACAGAAGACTCTTTTTTCCAATTGCACCATTGGAATACAGACAAACCCTTCCCCCTTCATTCTGTGTGCATATTCTCTCAAGTGATTGATAAATCAATAATATGACTTCAATAGATGCATTTAAAAACATTGACAAAAATCTGTACATTTTTGCAAGTCAATATCATGTAAAAAAAAAAAAGAAATAAAAAGAGAAAATATTCATAAATATAGTTATCAGATAATTACAAAGCACTGAAGTGACCAGAAAAAGTGCACAGTTACTTAAATAAACTACAAAAAGAACTTTAAATGCTTAACAAATTGACCGTCAAAAAAACAGATTAATGCACAAGACCTTCTCAGATCACACATGCAGAACGGCTTTATCAAGTGTTCTCTCGGGACAGGTATTTAACCGCCTTTAAAAGGGCTTTGAATGTCAATTTCAGGCATTTCAAATGTTGACGGATCATTTTTGGTCATCCCAAGACCAATGAGAGACTCACAAACAATTATAATCAAAAACATGACATTTTAAAAAAGGCACTACAAAGGCAGATAGTTTTTCCCCTTTAGCTGATCCGAGGGAGCATCTATCACCAAAGCTTGATAGTATTACTTGATCCAACACATGGGGCTACAAAGCTATGCAGACACAAACAGTATGCCGATAAGGTTTGATCGAGTTGGGCTCTTTCCATGTCACCACGCTGTGCTGAGTGGTAGACATGAGTGACAGGGTAGAGAAGGGACACAGTCTTTCAGTCATCGACCCTGCATAAAGGCCCAAGCGAGGGAAGCTGTTACAGCTTTGGTGCAAAACCAGTCTTGAAATGTACCTACTTGTAATAAGGTATCTCATCCATGGTGCCTATGCGAGATCTTGTCCATTTTGGACAGTATTGTGCCAACAGTTTGTTTCTTAGTGCAACGCGCAGTGCTGTTATTAGATAAACCCTGAATGCCGCCCATTCGTGCCCCTGGTCCTTTTGTTTGCTTATTTCTATTACAGTATAAAGTTTTTTTTTGTTTGTTCGCTTTGTATTTGTTCGTTTCCTGTGCATTTATATGTTGCTTTCAATTCCTTTCCCTCTTCCTCCAGTCAGTTTGGAGGCCTCTCTCACACTTCTAAAAAAATCACGTCCGAGCAGCTTCCTTGTGTCATGTGGACGTGGCTTCCAGGTAGCTCTGGAGTTTACGTACAGTTGACTCGTCCAAGGAGAACAGGTCAAAGTCAAATGTTGTATTTGTGATGTTGAAATGGCCAGTCTTCTCGATGAGGTTTACAATCTAAAAGACACAAAGTCATGCGTCAGTCAAAATCAGCAAACATTCCTGAAAGGTAACAAAAGTTTCATGAGCCAAACATAAATCAGCTGTTTTCCAATGAGAGGCACCTAAAATCTTCAATAATTTTATCTTTTACATACAATACCATTCAAAAGTTTGGGGCCAGTAAGACTTAAAAAAAAAAAATGAAATACTTTAGCATGTGTTAAATTGATCTTTAGACTTTTACAATGTTACAAAAGATTTCTATTTCAAATAATTATTTTATATAATTTTGAATTTTCTCTTCACCAAAGAATCCTGAAAAAAATATAATTGGTAAGAATAAGAAATGTTTCTTAAATGCCAAATCTGCATATTAGAATGATTTCTGAAGGGTCATGTGACTTTGCCATAACAGGAATAAGTTACATTTTACAGTACATTCAAATAGAAGACAGTTATCTTGAATTGTACAAATATTTCGCAATATAACAGTTGTACTGCATTTTTGATCATATAAATGCTTCCTTGGTGAGCATAATAGACTTGTGTCAAAAAACATTTTTAAAAAAAATTACCGACCCCAAGCTTTTGAACAGTAGTATACGTTAATAATTTCTAACGTGCCCTGAAATAAGGCACTGATCAATCTTCAGTTTATGCGTGAGGTGATAACATTTTTTAGAAAATGCACTCAAATACAAAAATAACTTATTATAACCTGCTGTAAAATATTCCTCTCTCTCAGAGCCATCAGCCTGCGATGGAGGTCCACAAGCTCCTCTGTATAAGCCTGTAATCAGATCACTCGTTTAAAACTTCCATTGTATTTTTATGTGCAATCAAAATCTGAATTTCAGCTACTGAGGAGTATGATTCAGTTATTTACCCTTCCTACCTTGTCGTATCCCCTCTTGAGCATCTTCTCACGGGTGCATGAGTCTGGGCTCTTTTTTCCTAACATCTGACAAAGAACACCAATGATTTCAAATCAAATTAAAATATAAACCTAATACAAACCAATCTGAAGGTTCATCGCAATGTAATCTCACCTTGAGGTTTGCTGAGCTCAGTTTGGGTAGAGGTGAGGGGGCTTCCTGGCTGGGAGGTCGGGACTCCTCATTGCCATCACTGTCACTGTCCATGCTTAAACTGAAAAGGGGAAAATCCTAATGAACTTGTGAAAGGAATATAAATCAGATTCAAAGTGTAACACGGTTGTGTTAATATTAATAATGTACATTTTTTTTGTCAACATTTTTAAGTCAAGTCAAGTCAAGGCACCTTTTTACAATACAGATTGTATCAAAGCAGCTTCACAGTGATATCATGAAAATAATACAACACAGATCAATAATATTGTTGAATATCAAATGTCCCCAACTTAGCAAGCCAAAAGCCAAGGCAACAGTGGCAAGGAACCAAAACTCCCATCAGGTGATTGAATGGAGAAAAATTGTTTTACTGTCAAGTATCCCTTTTAGTAAACATTTCAGTTATTCAAACAAGACCATACTGGATAAAACACAAAGTGCATGGTACAAACCGAGAGTCCTGATTGGGAGGAGTCGTTTTCATGGGCGTCTCAACCTCAGAGCTGCTGTCATCATCAGAGCCTTCAGAGCGCATATCCTCTACCATAGAACGGAGCGTCCCTGGAAACGATCATTATTAACGATCATTAATGAGGCGATACACTACGGATCATTAAACTGACCATTCGTGAGTAAACTCCATGTACCTTGGCCTTGCTTCTGTGGTGGCTCAAAGTCAGAATCAGAGCTGGAGCTGGAGCTGGAACTCGATGGACTGGATGGAGCCGATTGCTAAAAAAACAAAAAAAAAACATCCTTGAGCTTTATCACATTCGTATACATGATTCAAATCCCTGTTCTGCTTATGGAAAAACAAACATACCTCTGATTTAGAAGAGGCTTCATCCTCAGAGTTTGATTCATCAGAGTCGGGCCGCCTTTTTACTTCCTGCACCTCTGGTTTCATCTTGGGCCAGTGGCCTTTATCTTTACGTGGGTACGTGGAGGATGTTGTTGAGGTAATACGGGGAGAGTTGCTGCTGTAGCCTCCGCTCACAGGCCCCTTCATGCCCTCGGAGCCCATCCTCTTCTGTTTCTTGGTACTTAGCTTTGGAGCCTCCATGGTAGATGAGGGCCGCTTGCTCGGGGTTCGAGTGTCCAGCTGACCCCCTCCTCCTGTCACCGCTCCGCCACCTTTTGGAGACATACCATCCATCTTGGACTCTCTGACCGTAAGTTTGGGCTCTTTGAAGGCTGCTTTTGGTACCGGTTTCCCATCGTCTTTTCCTCTGCCATCCGGGGCTTTTTTTGAAAAAGAGGACGAAGACTGTTCTCGTGAGGACTTGCTGCCCTCGCGGTCGCTCTCTCGGGACGTGGCCTTGCTCTCCGAGTCCTTTCGCGTGCGCTCTTTGTGTTCTTTGGTTGCCTTATGGGCTTTAAGACCTTTGCTGCTCCCACTTCCTCCATCTTTACTTGACTCCTACAAAGAAGGTTTTAAAAGACTGTTCTTTAAATGCATAACAGCTTGGAAAGTACCCGATAAGCACTGTCGATCTTCAAAACACAACTGAAGACTTTTTTAATGAAAGCTGAGATGTTTCAATCTCTCCATTGAAATTTCTGAAGCTTCAAAAAGTTGAATCGAGTGGTTTAATAATCAATTACGGTTAACTAAAGCTCAAATTAGAGGTGTGCATTCCTGCGGTCTACAGAACTTGACACAACTGAGTACGACATGGGACAAGTTTTGAATTGCTGAGTGCAAGAGGGAAGATACTGATTTGTGCGTGGAAATGTATTTTATGTTTTAAGGTACAGAATGTCATTCGTCTATAGCACAACAACAACAAAAAAGGTTTACAGGCACGGGGTTGGATATTTTCAATGTTTTTCACGGAAAGCACCTTCCTTTTTCCTATTGCGACGAAAACATTAAAGTGAGGTCTGTAGCGCCATGTCATGTGTGTGGGAACAGGTCAAACTGCATAGCTTTCTACCTGTGAGATTTTGCAGGTGGGAGCAGGACGAAACATAAAAGTGGCGGGTGTGACTCAAAAGAGATAGCAAGAATCAATAAAAATAAGTTCTCAATCTCAAAATATTGTACTTTTTTTAAATTAAACCTTAAAGTCAAGTTTCACAGAGAGGGTTTAGATTAAGCCAGGATTAGGCCTTAGTTCGAATTAGGCAGTAACCCTAGAAAAGAAACATTACTGGTGTGCATCTTGAGACAAAACAATGGGACTGACATATTTTAAGATATGAGGTGCAAGTTGCTTTCCGTTAAAACAGCTCAAACATGCATTTTAGCCTGGGACTATCTCAAGCAATTTGTCTGTGAAACGGGGTAAGACTATCAACCTTAAACACTTTAAATAGATTTAGAAAACAATTTAAATCATATTTGAAGTCATTTAAATAACTCTTTGACCAAAGGATGACTTTTTTACTAACCTTTACTGCATGAGAGGACTTGATCTTCTTGGGGTCTGAGAAGGCAGATAGTGGAATAGTCGGCAGCATTGGATAATCTGGACTGGGCCTTGGCATCATCTCCACACCCTCAGGAACAACTATAGCCTGAGACATGAATAACACCCCAATGGAGAGAGGGAGAGAGAGAGAGAGAGAGAGAGAGAGAGAGAGAGAGAGAGAGTCAGTCTATTAAAAAGAGCTGATTATAGAGGTTCAGAAAAAAGCAAGAACAAACAACCCTGCTCACCCCGCCGGCCTTGACCAACTTGCGCCGAAACTCGTGTGTGGGGTTGTTAAACGTAAGCTTCTCACAGCGCAGGTGATTGACAGGTGGGTTTCCCTCCAGGTTCAAGAATAGATCATAATTAAAGCACACCTTTTTAGGCTCCTCCTGTGATTAAAGAGACAAACATGTTCAGGATTCACAGACTTGAACATCAGTATCAAACCCAAACCTCTAGCACACATCTAGCAGTGTGTGAAACATTTACAGTGAAGTCAATATAAGATCCTTGGTAGATTACGAAACGAGAGAAAATTAAACAACTTCCAGAAATAATCCACTACGAATTCTGAAAAAGTATACAAAATAAAAAGTAATTAAGTCTTACAGTGAAACACAAATTCACATTTTCTTACCATTTATACCTTCTCCAATTTCTCTGTTGCTGTTCAACAGGTTCATGTCAATTCTCTGTTAGCTCCCAACAGTGCAAACACTGAGTTCACCTAGTTGTGTGACCCTTACCTTTACCAAATTGCAAAACTCTTAATCACGTTTTTCCAATACAGACAACACACGTCTTAAATATAACACATCTAAGAAGACCAAACACAACAATCTGACAGACTTTTCATGCCTTTCACCTGAAATACCTGTTATTCATGTCAAAAGAAACTAATTGCAGATACTGCTGTAGATAAGGGGTGATGTGCTCACCTTGTTTTTGAAATAGACCTCTATGGGCATGAGGAAACCAGCATAACCTGACTCTTCCACTTTATATGGGGGCTCTTTACAAACTGTGAAAAAAAAGAAAGAAAAATACTTAGTTAATGTTTAGCTACACATTTTTCAATCTACAATGAAACAGAAATATGAAACCAGAATCACTATCTACATGTACATACAATGTGCTACAATAAGGTCAAGGGTGCTTTTTTTGCCACTTCTCACACCATGGAAAAATAACTATTTTTTCCGAACAGGTTTCTGAAACACTACTAAAATCAGGTAGCCACACCCCAAAATCACGCCATTGGTTGAGCCAGAGGTTGACATATCACACCACTCACTCATACAAACAGGGAGATATTTGAAAACACTCCAGAGAAAGTGTTAACACTTTTTGAGAATGTAACATCAAAAAAGGATACACTTCACCTTCAAATACAACCTCTGGCAAAAACTGAATCACCACACTTAAAGGACATACATCCATTTTTTCAAACAAATCACAGATATGACACAAATCAGTTTGTTTAATACTAGCAGAACAATCTGTCTTTGTAAAACATACAATTTGCCATATAGTTTACCAGAACAAGTATACAGGGAAAAAAAGAATCACACAATGTTGAAGAAAATTTCTAAAGCAAATACCGGTTACACTTTATTTGAAGGTGTCCGTGTTACAGTGTAACTATGCATTTAAGTACTGAGTAATATTAATTAACAACAACATGCACTTTCTATATAATTAGGTTTATGGATTGGTTTAGTTGCATGTAATTATGCATAGGCCTAATTTACTGTTCAATACATGTAACATTTGTAACAAGGACACTTCAATAAAGTTACCCAAACACCTATTGACAAGCAGTATAAAAGAGTGCTTTTGCCAGGGTTGGTCATGTTACCAATACTAGTTAACATAGTTGCTATACAATTACTTCCGTATTATACTAGATCTTAAGTTAGGACTTCACTCACATGCTGTAGATACACAAAGAACTCCGGCGCACAACAAACCTTTGGTCTAATAAAACATTGGTACCTAGCCGACTGTCTCGACCGTCTTTATAAAATATCTTCTTATTAAACGGTCTGTACACTTGCTCGTTACACGTTCTCAATGCTTGGTTTTGCATGTAGGGACCCTCATTATGTTACTGTGGGGCTATTTTGAGCCTTGTTAGTGGTATAATGGGTATGCCCCCATTACTAGCATTATACGCTAAACAGTTTTTAGAGATACAACTCTTTACATTGGATTATCATGAAAACAAATCTCAGAGAACGGTCGACTAGGTACCAATGTGTTATTAAACCAAAGGTTCATTTTTCGCCGGACTTCTCCTTTAACAGCATGAGTTTAAAAAAAGGGCAGATTTAACACAACAGAATATGGGTGTAAACACCAGCCGTTTCCTTAATCATGATTGAAAGGGACCTTAATCTAACATCACTGTGAGTATAAAGTTACAGGGTTATGAATTAGACTTAAAATATAACCTGCCTCTCTTGGGTTTTGGGAAGCTTTCGTGAAGGCGGAAGACAACTCTCTCCACAAAGTGCTGGATGTCACATGCCTCTGGGCCCCGAACAAACACCATCCAGTCATGTGTGAAGCCCTCGTTAGTGACTTTCTTCCTTAACAGGGCTCTGTGTCCCAGTTCCAGTTTCACCTGCACAGTGCACTGAAATAAGAGGGAAAAAAACAGTCATCCACTAGAAGACTAAATGCTGTTTTCTATTCTGAACAAGTGTGCACAACAACAATAATAAGCACATATACATCTAAGTGAGACATATACATTGTTCGATTCGCTTGGCTTGTTTGGTCCAAACCAAAGAAAAACATTTAGTCCTGGTCCGCTTAGTGTTCAGATTGGCATTTTTATCAACTAACCTAATGTAATTGGGATACATTCACAACTTGATTGATCTGCTTTTATGACGCATTGCCTATTTTGAGACAGAACATCTAAAACTCTGTGTACTTGGGCTAAATGCGCTTGTTGTATTGGGTGTAGCCTGCATATTTTGACCAAATGAGCTTCTAAAATGTGTGGAGGAGTCAAAACAGAATAAAGAATCCCTCCGTCATACACACAATCATTTTCAGAAGTCTCAACCCGCTTGTTTGGATGGCAGCGATCACACTTATTCCATTGAACCGCACTAACAAAGCAATTGCACCAGGGTTTGTTTTAATTGAGCCAAACATGTCATAGGTGAAAAGGAGTCAACCTGCTTTCTTTCTCTGACAGCTGCAGATGGAAACTCACAGTTCTGTGACATTCTTCACAAGCATGATGGTTTAATGTTTACAGCTTTTCTTGGTATTTAAACAAAATTAATGTTAGACTTGTATGCATTAGTTCAGTGGTTAATAAATTAGTTATTGCAGAATACAAATCTACATAAGCAGTGCATATCACAAATAATTTGGTAAAAAAGGCTTTAGGCTAGTTTGAAAGGGCCTAGACAGAAAGTCTGAAGACATTTTAAAAGCTTGAAATGTTAAGGTTTTTAAGACTGAAGCAGCTTTAGACAGACAGACAGATAGATTTAAAAATAACACCTTTAAATACAGTGCACAGCAAATGATTAGCTAAATAAAACCAATTAGAGCACTGGAATTTTGCATATCCAATGAGCTGTCTGTCAGTCTTTCCTGCATCTAGCGTACTCAAGAGACTTATGAATTTTTTTTTTATATTATTATTATTGAAAACGTCGGTTGTTGTTGAATTAATTAAGTGTAATTATTTGTAATTCAATGGAAGAATTTTTTTCAACTGTCTCAATACCTAGTGAGTCCCCCTGCTAGACAGGTTTGACCATGGGAGCGTTCGAACGTTCGCGCGCGTCTATGACGCCCACGAATGCTGTCTATGTAGGCAGCTCACTAGGTTTTGAGTCAGTCCCCGGACTAGCCGGACAGCTAGTGAGTGTTGGAACTCAAGAATCCATCTGTCCTATAAGCCAAATGCCGAGGTTTATAAAAAGACAGATTGGTTTCTGCAAGTACATTTTTGTCACGACTTAAATTGACACAAAACACTGACGTAATTTCGCGGGTTTCCTGCTTTAAGCCTCGTACGAGTGACTAGCTGGCTAAGTTAGCATCCTGACCATCTTCAGAAAAACGTTGGCCTCGCTTCTTTCACTACAAATACATTAATGATAAAAGCATGCGTATTTCCGTCTAATGACTGTCTGGCAGTGTCAGTAAAGTCTTATTACCATGTTCTCCATTGTTGCCTATGTTCCGGTGGTTTAGTTTATTTACAAAAGCGTTGAAGTAGATTGAATGTGCATCCTCGCTCTTACACATCTGATGGAGTGTGAAGGGAGAAACTAAACAGTTTGAACAAATGGCCGCGACACTGATAGTTTTTAAAATAAAAGTAGAATGGCTTTTATCTACCTGTTTCTAATCCACATCTTTCTACTTTAATTTGCTTACACACTTTGCATGTAAAGTCACTCCACCCTTTAATGTAAAATGTACGGAAATGTTTTGATTAACTTACTTTCGTGAAGTTCAGAAAGTATTTTAATAAGAGATATTTAATTATACTACAAATAAGTGAAATTATACACTTTATAAACAAAATATTAAATACTTAAAGCAACAAAATCCACCACAGAATAGCATGCAAGGTATTTAAAATGAGATAAACTCGCATCACACTTTCAAAAAAATGTCCTAACATGTTTTATTTGCAGGTAGTAAACACCACAGAAACAACTGTTTTTTTTATTCTTACACAATAACAAGTGGCCAAGATTTATTTTTATAAACATGACAACTGTTCTGGATACTGTATGGATACAGCCTCCTGCAAATAGGTATGAAAAAAAAAACCTTAGTAACATAATGGTACAACATTACTAGTTATTTTTATGCAATTTCAAATTATTTAATGAAAACTAACAAGACTTTTTGTAAGCCTAGATTACTGACAAAGACATGCAGAATTTAGTGCTAATTGTTATTATAACATCCAGACCAATAGAGATTCTTGAAGTCCACACAGACTCAAATGAAAAAATTGAGTTGCATATATAAAAAGCTTTAAGAAAAGTTATTTGTCAATCATCAGTTTTCATGTCTGATTTCATGCTAGAGTTGTGTATAAGTTGAGTTCTCAGTGTGCAGTGAAGTCTTAGCCAGTAAAGAAGCAGTGCCATTCTCTGAATCTGTAAAATGCACAGAAGGTTCAATCTGGTGAGATGATGTCACTATATTGTGTCATTATTTTCAAAAGACTAAATGCCGGAATACACTACACAACTTAAAATCTGAACAGATCTTAGAACACTACGCATCACTCCGAACACAACACACTTCTAAAACATCCTGCTGTTTGATATCATCCAACTGGATGCAATCAGAGTGAAGCTAAATCGAAAATAATAGCCTGAAATGATCTGTCAACTCTGACTGCCCAAAATCTGCAGGCTGGCGGACTGGCATCTAGGGTCAACTTGTCCAGACTGCAAATCGGGGCAAAACACTCTGTGCAAAAGTCGTGTAGTGTTTTCCAGCCTTAACTCAATCAATTGCATTCATTACAAGGTTAATAATTACACATTGAAGTAGGGAATCATACCAGGATCACCGTTCACTTTGCCCCCCGGGTTCTTGTGCTGGCTGTCAATGTGAGCAGTCATCTCCCCCCGGTCTGGGGTGCAGTGGCCACACTGTAGGCAGCTGTATCGCCCTCTTGTGTGTTCCCACAGGATGCGGCAGTTGAAGGACTGACCTGACAGATTTAATTAATGGGCGAGTCATTAAAATCAAAACCAACTCAAAGATCATCATATTCATGGTTATACATTCATTGAGAATGTTTGTAGACAGAAACAGAAAACCTTCACCAGTAAAAGTAGCAGATAATTGCATGATTGACTTGAGCTGGAAAAAGAACTTCAATGATCACTGGGATCAGCTCACATACAAAAGCAATATTATTCACACATTCAAAATCATTAAACCCAGTTTAGACAGATGAACATGGGCACAAAGGTTTAGGGATTAACAAGTGCTCTCAACATCACCACACATGATCAACTATTATGACACAGCACCATCTCTTGCCAGAAATGACCACCTGATTTTTGTCAAATGCAAATGGGAAGGGGAAAAAAAAGTGAAGTAAAGGAACACCGGCCCTAAAAGCAGACCCTCTGATGTCTCATTACATGTTAGTGAAGCCCGTGGACATATGCATTTAGGATCGGATGGGAGTGGACTGAGTCGTGCGGCTAGATGGGACACCCAGGGAAACACTAAAACCGGTTAAAGCAGGGGAAGGGGAGGAGAATTAGCATCTAAAGTATCATTTGAGGGAAGATCTGATTGTTCCCTCAAGCAATGTGTGTGTGGATTCTCTGTGCCTCACCTGGACTTCATCTCTACTTAAACTCTGACTGCTTGGAGAGTTCCATCTGTGCAAAAGGGGCCCGGGCGGTTCTGGCAGGACAGTGCAACATGACAAAACACAGTTCACTCAAAGTGGCCATGGCCAAGGCTTAGGCATTTCCCCCACAAGTGACTTACAAATTCCCTTTCAAAAGGACTCACACCTGTTGATAAGCAGGTGAGATCAGTTGAGCAAACTGCAAAATACACAGGTGAACAGGGTCTAAAATGTAGGAGGATTTAAGGAACACTGGGTCTCATTCACTAACAACTGCATGGATTATTCATACTTATGCGCACAAGAGAACACGTGCACACGGAATTATTGTTAACCTCATTCGAATGTTGATGAATATGGAATGAGCCAACTATCTTTTCCTTTACACATATACACTATACACATAAGATTTATGAGATGAAATATCTAAAATTTCATCTTAACACACTGTGTGTATATGTACATAATATAAATGATTGTGTGTGATTTGTGGTTCTTACACATTTTGGGAAAGAAATTGTATAAAAGTTATTGATTACTTCAGGTTTTCCTGCACAATTTTGTGCATTAAATGGTTAGTGAATAAGACCCATTGTGAGCAATGACACCTGCTTTCAGTCGGCTTTCCTCACTCACAGAGGAAAGCTTTATGAGACCCATTCACCTTGGTTCTTCCTCCAGACAGCGTTTGATCCTGGCGATGACGGCAGGGGTGGTGAAGAGGGCAGACTGGGAGGACCAGACCTGGGAGATCTCTGCTGCTGCTGTAGGCCCGGATCTGGCAGGAAGACTGGGTTAACAGGAGACAGAGTGGGTGGAAAAGGGCTGTAGGGGGATTCTGGTTTGCAAGGAAGATTTTGGTTTGAGGCGAGATTTAGAGTGGCAAGGAGCAAAGTTGCAGGGCCTGGAGGGGTTGGGTTAGTGAAAGCACTGTTTTCTGACATGTTTGCCAGTGTTGGATGTGTTGCCAAAGTGGGCATAGATGGCATAGACTCCATCTCCTCTGGCACATTGGCGGATAAGAGGGGTCCAGATGGTTCCATGTCACCAGAAGTGAGAGGAACACTGGCGGGCTCTGCGTCAGGTGCCATTCCAGTCTCTATCTTTACTGCAGCCTTGTTCTTAGCAACCTTGGCACAGGTCTGCAGGTGTTTGAGGAGAGTGCGATAAGAACGCAGTTTGGCCCTGCAGCTTTCGCACCTAAAGGACACAGACATAATGATAACGAGGAAGCATAAAGCCGAAACATAACATTAGAAATAAATGAATCAATCCTAAAAGAAAAAAACATCAAATCACCCAAAAAAAATTATACGAAAAAAAAAAAAATTGTAAATTGGTTGCTGAGATTGAGAACATTTTTAAAGACAAACTAAGGCAGTTTGAGATAAGAGGGCATCTATGGTAAATTGCTAAATTAGCTAGTTGTTTTATTCAAAAATATTCAACTTGTTTCTCCTAAAAAACGTACCTAAATAAAAACCTTATATTAACAAAGTAAAAACAAAATTCTCAGAAGAGTGGAAATATTAAAAACAATTTATAAATGAATATACCTTTAGTTTACTAATAAAGAAAAGAAAGCCTAAATGCAAAGCGGAACTCACAGGAAAAAATAATTTGGCTTGTAATGGTGTCTCATATGTTCCATGAGCTGTTGCATGTTGTTGAATGAACCATCGCATCCTATATGAGAGCACAGGAAAGTTTTCCCTAAAGAATAAAGGAGAGTGCATTAGACACCAAATTGCTGATGTGACACTTTCCATGACAATAAATGAACTGATTAAATGACAACAAAGATCATTTCATCCATCAAGTGTTGCACTAATAAAATAAAAAAGGTCACAGGCATGTTAATGTTATACCTGGAAGAGACTGGGCAGTGTTCTTTTGATGATCCTGTAGATGACTATTCAGTGCTTCTGGACTGTTGTAGGTCCTCTTGCACCCAAAAAACGAGCAGGACATTTGACAGCCTGGTGGAACATTTGTTCCTTAAACGGGGTTATACAATGCATTGAAATAGCAAATTAAAACATAGTACTACTAATATTTACATACCTTCCATGGTGATTTCTTAGATATGAGGTAGTGGGATCGGTCCTTCAGACTAGAAAAACGACATCAAATATGATATAAAACATTAATGGTCATGCACACTTTCAGTGAATGGCGCGTAGTTCTAACGTGGGTGTGCACATCATAACAACAAGTGCAGACTTAAAGTAAATAGTAGACTGCATGCATTTGATCAATAACAATAACAGTAGATAAATCCATTGACGTTACTGACAAACTAATAACGTAAACAATCAGGGACGTGCGCAGACAGCCAGCGGTCGCACGAGCTAGCAGACAACAACAACAACAAAACATTCCATTATCTGCTTGGAATAAATGTATAGATGTGCAATTATTTATAGTGCACATTGATCATGACACTTACTATGAATTTATTTCGCGAGGTTTTCAAAGCTTCTTCAAAAATAGACGTTAATTCAAACCTAGCTAGATCGCGTTTCCAGCCTCGCTACGTGCGGTACGTTCATCTCTAAATATCGCGAGAACATACGTTCCCGTTGCCGTTCCAGTTCGTGTTGACCATAGACATAATAGAATAGACACAGTTTTTAGACATGGCACATAAAGGAGACAAGTACAATTCTGATACAGTTGCTTTCAAAGGCCAAGATTTGAGTTTTGATGTTGTTTAACTTTTTGTTTGGATGTTTAAAGAAATGTAGCTCAACCCTTCGAATTATTTGCAGTGTAGGCTGATATTAATTTCTCTTGACCATAGAGGGCACAAAATCTTGTCTCATCTCAACACATTTAACGAATGACTTTGCTCTTCTTATTTTATCATTTCCTCTGAATATCATAATGTGTAATATTTAGTCAGCCGAACTCATTGGGTTTTAATTGATCTAATAGCTTAAATGTGTCTGGAAAATAAATTGTGATGAATTTATTTTGAAACGTTACGTTACATACTTGAACGAATTTACCAGTAGATGACCAGATGGCTGAAGTGATCCAAACATCATGCCTGCCTAGACCAGCCCTTTTAATCCAAGATGAAAATGTTTAAATGATTTAAATTACGTTATATTACACACATAGCTGATGTTGGAAAACCACTTCTCTTCCCCTGACGTTGGTATTTGGTTCCCGTTTGAAAAGTTGCAATCATCTGTTTTTAAAAAATATAACTCCTAACCACAGGAACCGTAATTGATTTAACACATTAAATACCTGAGCATAGAGTTAAGGCTGTGATATTGCACACTTCAGCAACTACAGGGTTGAAGAATGAAATATTAAAAAATCTTTAAAAATACATAATCTACCATTAGATCAAGATTAGCCTATTGCAAATATCTTAACAAATGATTATTTATAAATTAATCTGTAACGTTTTCGTCACTAAAGTCCTTGAAGCTATATTTAAGACAAAGGTGCTGATTAAACAAGGATTAGTTTAACTTTAGGAAAGTGTAAGAAACATCTAGATTCTAGAAAATATGTGTTGCCTCAAATGTGATCTGTTTAACTGTGTTAATGAATTACTCTTTATTTCAGACCAATGGGTCCATATCAAAAAACAAACAAAGTATAAACAAGAACAATACATACAGACATCGATTTACAGACAACATACACATTTCTCTTAAAACATATAAGCTTTCATTCCACTGCCTCCAGAAACAGGAAAAATACATTGTATCACTTAATGATACAAGGTATGTTAATGTATCCCCTGTCCAGTAGATGGGGCAATAAACAAGTCCACTGAATTTTCCACTAAAGCGCCTGTCCAATTTTCTTTATGAATTAGATGACGTAGGGAAATGATACCCCGCCCCTGAAATGAATGTCCAATAGTGTTCTGAGTTTTTGATTCGACTTCCTTTTGATTGGATGTGGAATATAGAGTGGGCGGAGTTCAGAATACAACCTTATATATATGCGTTGTGCTCCCAAGATTAGTTTACATTACAATTGACAAACACATAGTAGCACTCTTGTTACGCGGTGGGTTGGAGCAACAACGTGAACGCTGGCGCCTCACGGCTAGTAACGGGGTAAGATGAAGCCCTTTCCTCTGCTTATGAAATGATTATGAGATTTTATAAATAAACTCCAGGCCATTAATTTCCGAATGCAACCACATGCAGCTCAGAGGTAGGTTACACGGTCAGCTTGATTTAAAAATAGCTACTCGTTGCTTGTAAACTAATAATAACCATTGTAAACGTAACTTTCGTCAGTTGGTCTTTCTCGATTTTAATAGCTGTTTAATTCGTTTATTTTGTTGTGTGTTAACTTTCTGACTGTGACTCTTGAAATAGGAAAAATTCCAAGTCTGTACAAGAGCTTTTCTCTTCTCTTGTGGTCATCATATGTATCCCTGAGACTCCAGATTGTCCCTGGAAGAGTATCTGAACCCATGTTGGTGCTGTGTTTTTCTGTCTTAATGCAGGAGTCATCTGTTGCGCGACCACCTTGAGGTGATCAGATCAGAGGTGACGCATAATTGATTTAAAGGACCCACTGCACAGATTTAGGCACCAAGCTGAACGTCATCATCTGACCATTAAAAATCATGGTTCAAAACAAAATCACGGAGATCACCGGATTCCATCGGTCCTTCAAGGTTAGTTACTTGTTGCTCTGACTTGCCAGAAAGTAAATGGCTTAATGTCCTGGATTTCCGCTTGAAAGAAATGTTCCTGTCTTCCTGTTCTCAGGGCCAAAACCCTTTCAAGACTGATGAATTCATAGATCTGGAATCCCATCTTGGCTCGTCCTTCAAGATAGACCACTCGCTAAGGCCTGGTACAGCTATTTTGCTTACTGTTTCATTAATATTGACTGTTATTATCAGTCTTAATTGTTGACTAACTCTGAGGAGGTAGAGATATGAGATATCTGCTCAAGAACTCATTGTGTGTTAGGCAAAGTTCATAGTAGAATAGAGTGATGAACTAGGTCCAAAATTGTTTCTTTCTTCTTTTTTTTTTTTTTTAAAGAAATGCCATCCAGCAAGCCCATTGATATCCCTGATGCCAAGAAAAGACATAAGAAGAAAAAAAGATGCAGAGCAACTGACAGTTTCTCTGGACGTTTTGAAGGCAAGCTTCATTTGTTCAAGTGTGAATTTAAGCTTCACTATTAATAGAGGGTAAATATTACTTTTCTTTTCTTTACAGATGTTTACAAACTGCAAAATGAGATTCTTGGTGAAGGGGCTTATGCTGTTGTGCAGACCTGCATCAATCTGATCACCAATAAAGAATATGCAGTTAAGGCAAGTATCAGCACCCTCTTATGTTAAAACTGCACATCACCGTACATGAAGAATAAGCAGTTAGCAATGTGATCTTAGCTGATATTGTGACATCATGATGACACCTTAGCAAGTTTAATATTATTGCTGCATAGTTTTGAGTGAGAAGTGCATAATGGGCTTAAAGTAAAACCAATGAGGGAAAAAATGGGCATGAGGGGCAATCACTGAGGACATGTGATTACGTATTTATTTCTTGTGATCTACCGTGGAAGCAATCAGGCAAGCAATGATCAGGCAGGCAATTTTAAAAAATAGATGAGAGGGTAGAGTTTTTTTAAATGTGCTGTTTATGTAACACTTGTGAGTATTGACCCATCACTGTCCTTCCACTGACTACCTTTCGCAATTGTCTTTAACTTCTGTCTGATATGTAAAATCTGACTCCAATGAGGGCAGAATTGTAGCAAATTGATTATATAGAGTGATGTCAAATACGCATGAATTTCGTTTTGACCGTTCACACTGAGGTCGCATTGCAGAAAATCTGACCTGTATCTGATTTAGGACCAGTCCACATATGGAAATGGCCTAAGTCGGCATTGTAAAGATCAGATTCCATGTGGTTTGTGCTGTTGATGTGGTCATGAGAAACTGTTGAGTCACATTAGCAAAAAAATGTTGTGCCATCTTTGCCTGCAGTCTAAACATAGCTGTGTCCTGCCTTAAATGTAGTGTTAAACATGAATAAAAGGGGATTTATACTGGGACAGATGCCTCTGTTTTTAATGTTTCAGCCCTCATCAGGAAAACCGGACACTAGCTTTGATTGACGGTTGTTTGAACTTGGTTCATGCAAGCTGTTTTAATTGTTTTGTGATGTCTACTTCTCTCTGGAACATTGGCCTTCCAGCTACTGTGCTGCTGTGAAACAAATAAATGACTACAGTGCCTGTTCAGCAGAGAAACTTCCCCTTTTCAATTGTTATTGAAGCAGGACATGTTTGAAAAAGCAGTGTGATTTCTCGCGTTGCATCTGTTTAATCTCTAGTTGATGGAAAAGTTAATATAGAGGATATATGCGGATCTAGATATGTGGCATTTCCTAGCAAGTGTTCTGTAACTTGCCAAAAGAAAAACAAAATTGAAAACCACAGGTTCTCCACATAGCTGACGTCATGGAATATGAGCTTGTGCATTTTTGGATGTTGGAGAAAGTTTCCCTTTTTAAATTATTTGTAATTGCGTACTATGCGACGTGAATCGTGTAAAATGTTTGGCTATAATGCTTAACCTTTTGAGTTCCTGTGATGGAAATGCTCATCTACAGGTTAACATTTATGGACCCTGTATAAATTACATGCTCTAATGCCAAAGTAATTTAAAAAAAAAATAGTAATAGAAACAGATGGCAAATAAACCAGTATATGGTTTGAGTTAAGGGAGGCAACACGTCTTGTAACCCCTAGCCCATTAAAAATATACACTACCATTGAAAAGGTGCAGGGTCAGCAAGTATTCATTTATTTTCAGACAAAAAAAGTTCTAGGTTGTGCTAAATTTATTGGGTGATTTAAGGCATTTGTTACAAAATATGTAAAAAAAAAAAAGAATTCCATTAAAGTATTACTCCATTGTTTTCAACAATAATACGTTTTTTTTGAGCAGCAAATCAGCATATTAGAATCGATGATATCTGAAGGATCATGTGACACTGAAGACTGGAGTAATGATGCTGAAAATACAGGTTTGCCATCACAGGAATAAATCTAATTTTAAAACTTATTCAAATAGAAAAGTTATTTTTGAATTGGTTTAATATTTCATATTACAGTTTTTGCTGTTTTTTATTTTATCAAATAATTGCAAAACCTTTATGCAGATTGTATAGACAAGTGTGACAAGCGCACACACAGACATATACATGTATATAAAATAATATATGTATATGCATATATGCATATGTAAACCCTTTTGTTAGATGCGATTAATTGATTTGACATGACTAATTTAAGTTAAATTCACTGCTATAGCCCACTTATCACAATATTCCCAATTGTTGATGGCCACAAAATTGGTACGAGTTTATATTTACGAGTTGGGAAGTCATGTTTACGACCAAGTGCGTTCAAGTCCCTTTTGTCAGAGCAAGATGGTGGTGTACCTTTAACTGCACAAAAAACAGTAAAGGTTTTAAACTTTCTATAAAATGAACAAAGACTGCATCACCATCAGGTGTGTTTTGCTCCGTTTAATTAACTTATGAAGCCTCTGTACAATTTCAGTACACATATTACAATGCTATTATATTGTGCAGGCAATTTGCTTATTTGGTTGTAAATAATTAAAAAAAGCCGTAAAATTGCACTTTGAAATACGTTAAGTATTGCGGTATTCTGCCACATTTCTCGCTGATTGACATGTAAACTCAGTTTCCGACTCGTGTACAACTTTTTGGTGGCGTTCATTTGCGTTCAACTTGTAAATACTATATTTCCGACTTGACTTAAACACCATTAGTCAGCTCTTTGTTTGTGATGAACCTGCCTCTACTTGTTCATGCATGGTCTGGGTGCCCTGAATGTTGTGCAACCTGATCATCTGTCTAGTCCACTGGCTTGTAAAGCCTGACTATGTGGTGACCCGCTGAATCAGTGGTCTGAGATGTTCTTTTATAGACAAGCAATGGCGTGTCATGTGTGCTTGCTAATCTCTCACACATGCTGTGCGTGGGTGATCCACAAAGGGATACACAGAACTGTTAACTCTCGCTGAATACTGAGATGACATGGGCATGTCTGAGTTTTGTCACTTAAGAGCAAATGTACTTAAAGGGCTGTCTCCAGGTAGAAAAATAGCCCATCAAAACAGACTCCTTGTGTTCCGACCTTGTCTTGCAGAACTGTGTCCTTCCTTGGGGTTGTATTGGGTCATTAAGATGTTTTATTGTTGTACAGATAATTGAGAAGAGGCCGGGCCACAGTCGGAGCCGTGTCTTCAGGGAGGTGGAAATGCTCTACCAGTGTCAGGGCCACAGGTACGGAAAGCCTTATGTGACATTATTGGTCCATTCCCAAACCACCAATAGATGCCTCGTTTTGGCCAGACTCTAAAATGGCATTTGATTTAACCATCACAGAAATCTATTGCGACAAGCTAAGTGGGTAAAAATAAATCCAAGATGAAATCCAAATGTTTGTAAACTAAAGTGATAATTTAATAGCTTGTATGTAATTAGAAATGCTTTACTTTACCCAATGTTTGTTGTGCATCTTTTTTTTTCTTGGAGTTTTTTGCATTTTTAGCAATATGCTGATGGCAAACTATTAAAATTAACTGTGGGGTCGAGTCTTATGACTGTTAAGATGCTGCCTACATAGTTCCAAAACCTTATTACAGTATTGCAATCTAAGCTTGCGTAGCTCTAGCTCATTGAAAATCCTTTAAGATACTATAATGTTAATATCTTTTCTCAACACAGAAACATTTTGGAACTGGTGGAATACTTTGAGGAGGAGGACAAATTTTATTTGGTCTTTGAAAAACTGAGAGGCGGTAAGTGTGTGGGCTTTATTTTCTTGTTTTTGTAAAATATTTTTACTCCGCTAAGACTCATTCAGTTGATAAAGTTTACATGCGTTTACAATTCTATTTGTAAAAAATTATTATTTTTACTTGAGCATCAAATCAGCATATTAGAATTACTCTGAAAGATATTAAACTTTTAAGATAAAGGTGCTCTAAGATCACTTGTTGATGTTGGAAGTATTGTCAAACAAAACGGAGGTTAGCTCGACCCTCCTCACCCCGTCTGCTCCCTTCCGTGCTTCTTGAAAAAGGCTTTTCCAATGTAAATTCGGGACTTTGTGGTGCACTACAAATGTTTCAGCCTAAAAAAAAAAGTGACGTCGCTTAGAGCACCTTTAAACTTCAGACTGTTGTCTTTTTGTTTGGTAAAGATTCTATAATGCATCAGCAAATTTCATGCTTGTATTCATTTTCTCAGGTTCTATCTTGACCCACATACACCGAAGACAACACTTCAATGAGCAGGAAGCCAGCATAGTGGTGCAGGACATCGCCAGTGCTCTGGACTTCCTACATAACAAAGGTTGGGACCTTTAGTATTGATACAACACAATGTCTTCTTGCGGTCTATATATTACCAACATATGTTTATTCATTATGTTCTAGGGATGGCACATCGAGACCTAAAGCCAGAGAACATCCTCTGTGAACATAGTGACAGGGTGAGTCTCTCTCTGTACACGAGGAGACATGAGACATCTGAGGAGAACACACATGCACTTCATTTCTGACCAGATTTTTGACGAATGTTGGGTACAGTAGGTTTTTTTTTTTTTTTTTTTTTTTTTTTTGAGCTGTTGAACAAAACCTGATTTTATCCATAGGAATACTCAATACAACACTCTTAACTCCATTCATTGTGACATTTAAAGGGGTTATTTTTTTCTTTTCTGTAGATTTCTCCAGTGAAGATCTGTGATTTTGATTTGGGTAGTGGGATCAAACTGAATAGTGACAGATCACCAATCTCCACCCCTGAACTCTTAACTCCGGTGAGTTTAACCCCAGGAGGATATTGGTCAACCAATATTTTTGATGGCCAATGCCAATACTGTACCTTAGAGCAGAGTGGCTGATTGCCTATATAATATTGTACCATTTCGTTTAAAGATGGTCAATGACGCATGCTGCAATGACATTTATATTTATTTTACATTTATTAAAATGGAAGTCAGTTGAAAGTGAATCAATATGAAATAATCATTTAAACTCTTAACTAAGCAGATTTGTACTTTAATGAGATTACACTTTTTCATTAATAAAATAATAAAATAACTAAGAGCTAAAGGACATGATTGTAGGAGAGGTTTTTTTTTTTTTTTTTTTTTTTACATCTTGATTAAAAGCTTTGAGGCTGGTTGATGTTTAAGAACTTGTAAACACCTAGCCTGGCTAACGCCAGATCCCGTATCATCAACATTGAGACGTGGTCCAGAAAACACATGTTCATTTTCTCGTATTTGAGTCATGGTTTACGAATGCCAAGAGCCATATTATTGGGTGGTAAGAATGTCCATCAAATGTGCCTGTACGTAGCTCATTGCCAATCGGTTCAATGATACCAGATGACGTATGTAGAGCGACAGAAAATTAGATGAGGAAGAAGACGATGGTTCAGAGATTTGTGTACACAAAGGCTTTATCAAAAGGTAACTTCGCGTCCGCTGCCAAGATGGATCCATAGATCTAAACAAACTGCTTTGGTGTGTTGCATGTACGTCGTCATCGTCTTGCTGCTCCCTCCCCATTCTGTGATTGGTTCCCTATCTCAGGGGAAAATTTGGTTCATGGTGTCCAGGCTGCTTAGCAGCATGAATAAAATCACACTGTGGCAAGGCAGCATGGGGAAACCCAGTCTAGTAAACACCCACAAATTAACTTATTTCCATATGAGTGCAGTGCATTGTCGCTTACATTCCATCTAGTATAAGTGTACATGAACCAGGCCACTAATCAGTATTTTTATGCCATTTTTATTGCCACTTCACTGCACTGCTGTTCTTATTTTGATCTGGAGGACAACAGAGATAACGGTTATTGCTTTAAAGCCACAGCCAATAAACCTCCATGTGATCGCGTCCAGTAACTGAGTTGTGTGGTTTCAACATCTGTTTTGATGTGAAGCGTTACCGTAGGTCACAGAATTATGTCAAGATTACAGATAAAGGATCGGTTGACCTTAAGTGGTTTTATTACGTCTGAGTCGGAAGGGAACAGGCAAAGGTCTTTTAATATGAATACAGTCATGTACAAAGAGCAAAAACAATTCCTCAGATATTTTCGTACATCTCCCCGCATACTGGTGGTACGGGCTTGTGGATATATATATATATATATATATATATATATTTATTATTATTATTATTATATATATATATTTTTTTTTTTTGTCTATTTGTCCTGTCTGCAGACTCTGGAACTGGGTGGGTCAGAGTTTGGATGGTGTACCCTTTTATTTACAGTTTTATTTTATCATGAATTCACCAGAATGTTCAGGAAGAAATCCTGTAGCATAGTTCTACATGGCTTTTTACCTTTTGTATACCATAACTCGCTTTAAACATTGACTTGTCCTTGTGGCATACCAGGTGAAATGCGTAGATCACCTTAAAGAATTTTGTAATTTTACTAAATCCTCGTTTTTCCAAGACCGTAGACTTTTATTTTTTTTAGCTTCAAATCACAAATGGAGATTTCTGTCCCTCCCTTGACCGTTTGATGCTTCAAAAATTGCAGAAAGACCTCTTAAAAGCAATCCTTAGGAATCAAGCAGTAATTCAATTCTTCTGAAGATGCATTATACCTATGATGAACCGATTTAGCTTAGGCTTTACTTCACAAAAACATTGGCCAACGTGCATGCATAAAGTACATTAAATGTGGTCAACGGAGCCTTAAACATGCTTGAACAAAAGTCTTATGACAAATTATCATTTTTGGGTGAACTATCACTTAAATACTCTGGGTTTTTTTGTTGGGTTTTTTTCACCCACAACTGTGGTTTTACTTGCTAGCATAAGGACCAGGGGAAGTCCCTGGTTTTGCCAGAACTAAAGTCCTCATGCCATGATAACATTCCGGTCATAATCCATCTGAGAACATGCAGTTATTGAGACCGATGCGATGTCAGCGATAACTTGCAGTGGTTGAGGTCACTTATATAAACAAGATGACTTAACATCTTTGTGTACATCACTTGCCAATCCTAACCCTGTAGACTACATGTTGTTGTCTGGAAACACTTTTCCCACTGTAACGGTGGGAGGAAGCGGGTGGGGCTGCTCATAAGGAACAGACAGCTTTGTGTGATACTCCTACGATTCCCCTTGCACAGAGGAGTGTTATGTAAGGGCCCGGTCATGCTGAAAGCAGAACCAGCTGGGCAATAAACTGACAATTGGGACAATTGCTGGACTCTCGGTTTGTTGAATCACAGTGAACAACTGTGTCCCTAGTGAAAGGGATCCAATTGCGCTTTCCTAATCAGGTGATCTTATCAGCTTCAATTGTTTAACCAATAGTTCTTTCTTCTGATTACAAAGGCATTGTCATAAGATCAACTGGCCAAACCTCTTATGCTAAAAGCATACAGTAGCATTTTATCACGGCACACTCCATTTTTGCCGGTTATCTCGTTTCCTTGAAAGGGATGCCCTGACACCTTTACAGAGCCCTGATAGTTTGAGGGAACAAGGAGTGTGCTTGTGAGGTTATCAAGGCTTCACTTTAGATTTGTTGGGGTCAAAGACAAGGCAGCCCAGGCTGATTTTTAGGATACTATTTGAGAACAGTCTCCTCCCCCTCTGCATAATGCATTTAGCCTCCTCCGCTTGCATCAGTGACTCATGCCGTTGTATAACATAGTCATGTATAACAATCTTTTTTTTTTTTTTACCAGACCACTGCACTTCCATAAAAATAAACTAGTCTGCTTGTCCCACTAAACTGCTAACCTCCAGTGTTTTAGTCTATTGCATTAATTATTAGTGCACCATACAGGATGTCCGTTCATATGTGTTATGTAACACTCAAGCAGGGTTGGGGCTTGTTTATCCCCAGCCGGTGTAGAGCGGCTTAAATCCTTTCTTTTTTTCCCCCCCGAGCAGCAACCTTTTTGGCCTAGTTTCCAAATGACGCAGGGCAGACAGGAGCCTGTGGTCCCTGCTGGAACAGTTGTCCGCTGACGCGCCCAGGTCTGAATCGGATCAGGCCACCCCAGCTTAACTCGAAACAATGACCTTGATAATGCCTCTGCAGGTGAAAACAAACAGGAGAGGCCAAACTGAGGGAGTGCTGACCGCTCTGACCAATGATGTTGCTCACGTTGAAGTGGTTGTCTGACTTTGGGACATGCTGATGGGACGTTGTAATGAGTGTTTATGTTGTAAACATGAAGTGAAACAGAACTTGAGGCTGGATTGTTCCTCTTTGCTCTACCCAGTAGTGTACTTGTGGCATTTAAAAACCATGTGGGAGATTTGTGGACTTTTCTTTGCATGTCTGAGGACTTTTATAGTATGTACTAAACATTTTTCATTCCTACAGTGTGGCTCTGCTGAATACATGGCCCCTGAGGTGGTGGAAGCCTTTAATGAAGAAGCTAGCATCTACGACAAGCGTTGTGACCTGTGGAGCCTCGGCGTCATCCTTTACATCATGCTAAGTGGATACCCGCCATTTGTGGGTCGCTGTGGGACAGACTGTGGTTGGGATTGGGGAGAGCCCTGCCAAGCCTGCCAGGTACTCCACCTCTAGTTAGCTGGGAAATCGGGCAGTATCGAAAGTACTGAATGTTCAAAAGTTTCCGTGGAATTGTCTTTCCGCACTAAAAATGAAAGACAACAGAAATGAGTCAAATAAGTCAAAGCAGCAAATAGGTGGGTTAAATAAACCCTAATTTCCTAATTCCTAGGAAAGTCCAAGTAGGGCCTGGTTTTGCCATCTTGTTTCATAGTCGGGACTTGATGGCCTGGGGCAACTGAATTTTTTTTTTTTTTTTTTTTTTTTTTTTTTTTTTACTACTTAAAACTACTAGAGAAGAGTGAAATCAATCAATGAATAAATCATTTATTTGAGGATTTGTTACTCTTGGGGCAGGGAAACCACTGGCCTGACGGTACAATCCCTGATAATGTTACTACTTCACATTGGAGGTTTAATATTATTCATTACAATTTGTCCACAGAGCATGCTTTTTGAGAGTATTCAGGAAGGCAAGTATGAGTTTCCAGAGAAAGACTGGGCACACATCTCCCCTGCAGCCAAAGACCTCATCACCAAGCTGTTGGTGCAGGATGCCAAAGACCGCCTCAGTGCCGCCCAAGTGCTGCAGCACCCATGGGTTAAAGGGGTAAGTCCATTATTTCCAATCGCAAGGACTTCATTTTATTTAACCCACCTATTTGCTGCTTTGACTTATTTGACTCATTTCTGTTGTCTTTCATTTTTAGTGCGCACCAAACACTGTGTCTGCCTCCATACTCCATCAGAGGTGGGTAAAGTGCAGATTAAAGGAGTAGTTCACTTTTGAAAACTTTTGCTGATCATCCAAGGTGTCCATGTCTTTCTTTCGTCAGTCGAAAAGAAATTAAGGTTTTTGATGAACATTTCCAGCATTTTTTCTGGACTTTTTCATTACTTCAGTGGGAACCAAACGGTTCAAGGTCCAAAAGACAGTTTCAGTGCAAACTGTTCAAAGGGCTTTAAACGATTCCAGACGATGAATAAGGTTCTTATCAAGCGAAACGATCGCTCATTTAATAAATAATAACAGTTTAAGTTTTATAAGCTCTCAAGCTCGCCTTGCTCTGTTATGTGACGCACGTTTGTGACTCTCCTGTTCGAACTCGTTCATCAAAATAAACTAATCTTTTTACGAGTCATTTGGTTTATTCAACGAACGAATTGACTCAGAAAAAGATTCGTTCATTTTGTTTAAGGGTAAAAATAAGTCTGAAATGTGAGTTTTGGTATACTGTTAGCAAACATCTCAATAACGCCTACACTGTTGCAAGTGTCATTTAGATGAATATGTAAATGTGTGCTTTGCACTTACCTCAATAACAAAATAAGCACAACAAAAATGACTGTTGTGAGAAGCTGGCAGTGAAGAACAAAATCTGATCATAGGGATGTGGATGTTTGCACGAGCTCTCCAGTTTGTGCAAGTCATATTTAAGCAATCTATTGTATAAAGCCTTTGGGCTAAATCTGGCATATTTGCATGCTGAAAAGCCAATATGTCCATTAATATGCAGTGTCCCTTTTAGATAATAGGTAAAAAATAAAAATAGTGCAATAAAGCAAGCAGCTTTAAAGTATTAAACATTAAAGAAACGTTAAACTTGGGGAAAAAATTTCATGTCACTTTCTATTAGAAGCACACCTACCTATACATAATTGCCAAAGGTAGTTTGAATGGGTATAACAGCTTCTCAGGACTTCTCAAAACAAGCTACAAACTGATTTTGTCATGAGTTTGTTCTTCAATTCTGCTATCAGGGCCTAAATACATTTCTAAATCCCTTTTCCCAGCAGCAATAGTTTTGACTGTAAATACCAGATCATTTAATATTCATGCTATCCTGACCGTCAATGTCTTTTCTCCAGGGGCGGTAGCGCTCAGGACCTGACATTCTTTGCGGGGCAAGCCGTAGCCATGAACCGGCAGCTGGCTGAGAGGGAAGAGAGCGAGGAGCAGCAGCAGCTTGAGGAGTTCTCTTCCCTTGAGGATTTCCCCAGCTCCATCCTGCTGTCTCAAACATCGGGGTCCAAACTGGCCCGCCGCAGGAAGACCGCAGGCAGCCAGCACCAAGGGCCGGTGTGTGCTTCGAAACTGCGCCAGCTCCTCGCCCCACTTGTGCTCGTGGGCGACTGTGCCTGACCTCTACCACCTTCTCCTGCCTCCGATCACCCCCTGACGACCTTTATCAGAATCTTCAACTCGGCAGTGTGTTGATCTCTGACCTCTCTGCCAAATTACTTTGTGAGTCGTAAGCTCTTGTGGGTAGGACTCATGTTTGTAGCACTTAAAGCACCTCCAAGGCCCCCTGCACACACTTTTGATTGGGTAAAATGTGGCTGTTGTGGCTGGAAAAAGACTTGTTGCCGTCTGAGAGTCCCTAGAGTCTGTCAATATTACAATGTTTACAAAGGACTCAAGCTGCTTCCATTCCTCTGCAGCTGGACCCCACAGAAGCCGTTTAATTTCTAAGCATTAGAAAAACACTTTTGCTGTTTGCCTTTGCGCTCACATGGGACCCCCAGCAGCCGAATCTTTTGTACTTCTGCAGGACTTAAGTGGCAAATTTATCATTCAAATTATCCAGAGCAGAAATTGCAGTCATGTTGTGCTGGGTTGTCTCTCCTGAATTATCAAGTGCCTTATTTTACTTATTTCAATCCACTGTGGCTGTAAAAACACTTCTGCTTGCTTCACAAGCAAATCTGAGCAGTGATTTCTGCAGAAACCTCAGGATCTCTTTCTGAATGAACAACCAAAGCAGATTAAAGCTGAAAGACCAATTCTATGTAAATTCATTGGCATTTAACATCTTGTGCTTCCACTGGAAAGTTCTGCTTTTTTCAAGGAGGTGGCAAAACCTCTGTACTTGGCCACTAATGAAAACAGGATTTGGTTCCATTATGCCATTATCACATTTTCACCCCATTTTCGTTTCCTCTTTTGACCTAAAATGCAATGCTATGGGGGTTTTGAGGAATTGGCAGGTGCATTTTCAAGGCTCTGCAGCAAATTCGGAGAAGTCTAGCATTTGCATTTCCAACTCCTTTTTCACCATTCATTCAGTCAGTCATTGAACATTTCGTGGCATTGAACACACACGGGCTCTGTCGATGACTTCATTCACTGTTTGAATAAAGGCGATTTATTCCACGAAAAGAACTTAAGTCCTCTGTTAACCTCCTTTTTGTGCTTGTAGACAGACATCTGAGAGAAAGGTAAATTATAGATAGGCAGAAAAACTTCCAGAAACAAATGTGCTGTGCTGCTATATTTTGCCCCCCCTCCCCCTCCTTTTTTTTTTTTTTTTTTTTTTTTTGTGTATGTGTGTGTGCTAGGAAGGGAGATTTTTATCTTCCTTTTTTAAAATCTTTGTCTATTAGTTTTTAAAAGTTGTTTAACTTGTGTTATGAGTGTGCTTCCAACTTTTTTTTTTTTTTTTTTTTTTTTTTTTTGGGATCCTCAATAAGTACCGATATATGTATATTTACCAAAGATTTCTTCTAAAATATTGTTCCACATTTCTGGTCTTGATGACTGTAGACACTTTAATGTTTGATGGGTTTTTCTCATATACTGTAATGTAACCAGAAAAGATGCAGATCAACCTGGAACAAAACAATCTGAGTGAAGCAAAGCCCATCATTGAGGTTTTTTGGTTTAAGTTGGTGGTTTCTCTTACAGTAAGACTTTGTTAATGCATATAAAATTGATTTCCAAATTTTTTTTTTTTTTTTTTTTTTTTTTTTTTTTTTTTTATTGTTTTCTGATTGAAACCACCTAGGATGGAATCTGAGGTTAGTCTTTCCCTTTTAGAAAGGCTTTTTTTTTTTTTTTTTTAACACTCAAGGGACCAGTGGTGTACCTCTTGTGGTTATTCATGTATTTTCATGTGGATGAATTTTTATTATTATTTTTTTTTTCAATCTGACCCGGGGGGGCAAATAAAGAACATGAAAATTGTTCAACTACAGTGGTTTCTTCTTATACAAACATTCATTATTGATCACTTAAGATCAGGGATTATTATTGTTGGGTGACAAACAGCCTCACCTTTTGTTAGAGGAGAACATCCGTATATGCTTTCATAAATATATATATATATATATATATATATATATATATATATATATATATATATATATTCCTTTTTGATAACTCCACATAGCAATGCACACTTCATTTTTTTGTTTTTTGCCTTGAACTTGTCCTCACTTTCAAAAAGTTAAAAGAAATGTTATCCACAAAAATTACTTATTCTCATGTGTTTGTCTCTCACAAACATCACTGAATTTCTGTCCTTCATGTACACACACTCAGCTGTCATTTTTATATCACAGCTTTGATAAACACAAAGCCAGTTACAAACATTGCTGGTCTTAGATCTATGGGTGTCCTGTCAGTGGTCATAAAAAAAAGGACCTCCAACCTATTTATCTGTTGTTTTGGAGCAGTTTCACCGTCAACACAAAACAGTGAGTTGAAATTGTCAGTAATATATATGTATATAAAATTCAAACAAAAGGACAAATACAATAGAAAAAAAGATTACAAATGAAACAATTTAGCCGAATAATAATAGCCTGCCAAGTCTCTATTCTGAATATGCAGTTGTCATAACTGCTTACATTTGTAAATGCTTTCAGCCTACAGCCTTCACCTAGAAAAACTGGAGAGATTATGTATAATGGCAAGACCTATATAAACATTTACTATCCAATGGCATTGCGAGGCTAAATAATAGAACCAATTGTCCATGTAAATGTGGACAAAAAAAAATTGCAGATGTGTTTTTGGAAGAGCTAAAAGTGATGGTGTTAAAAGTGATTACAGGGTTAAAACATTTTAAAAAGTTTGTTTAAAAGTAATTACATTTTTTCATAACGTTATTTGTGTTGTATTTAAAATGAGTAAAATCTGATGTTTTAATCTCCAATATGTTATTTAACAGTTGATATGGTTCTATAATGCTCAATAAATCCCAGTTGTGCAGTTCGGGCATGCGCATGATTCTCAAAAACACTGCGTTACAATGTGCCCCCATTATAGAACTATGCTATTCTATTCTATACTTTTATGAATTTTATTGAGAAACCATGAGACTGAGAGTCAATGTTATATTAATTATAAATATCAGATATTCATTATTACTACGTTCTGATGCTATAGCTGTGTTTTGCGGTGTGTTTGTTGTCAAGCTCAAAAATAATATTTTCCTTTTAAAAGTGCCATTATTTTACATGGAAAATTGTATTTTATTAAGAAAATAATTTAGTTTTTCTCAGTAGCTTATATATTTTTATTAGATCAGATGTAAACATTTTAAACAGTCATACGGTCATGTTACAATGTGCCCCATCATGTTGTCACTTTCATTCTTTCAGGGTAAATCAAGAAAAAAACTATACACTGTATTATTAATAAAACAAAACCACATAATTGTATTAGATGTGGGAAATTAATGTGGGAAGAACTAAATTCTGTGAACCCCAAGTGAATTTACACAAACTGAGAAAGTTGTGTTCGGTTGTCCCCCACTTTGCCCTAGAATTTCTTAAAGAAAGTTTCAACTTTAAGGGCAAAACGCATCAGTGCCATTGTAAGAGTAAAAAAAACAAAAAGTATAATTTGATAAATATGGGCGACAAATCGTATTTACTCGGATTTATAAACAGGAATGAGCGTCGAGCTGTGTTGGGAAGAGTGAGGGTTTAAAAAAAACAAGAGCTCCCCCACGTGTTAACATCCAGACATATTTTTTTTTCTAAACATTAATTTCACTGGTAAAAAGGTGATGGTGAAAATGTGAGACGCGATAGCTATTTTTAATTTAAAATCCAAATTGTCTATCCTAGAAGGTTAGAAAATTGATTAGAAAAGAAAATCAAGATGATAAAAGCAAGTATTTTTTATGAAGGGTAGACATTGAAAAAAAATGATTGAAATGATGCAATTGATCCAAATCACTATATGAAATCAGATCTGTGAGAATTCGTAAGGTTTTTTATTTACTTACTAAAAATGCTAAGAGATAACCCCCAAGTTCACAAAGCTGTTTAAAATTTAGACACATGAACATCACACCTAATTCATCACTGGAAGAATATTGAATTTTGTATTGCAGCATCCAAGAGAAAATGCATGGAGAACATTTATTGGAAGCATTTTGACAGAATTGACAGAAATTCTGTTCATTTTTCAGTGTTTCTGACACACAGTTTTCAGCACTGCAGTTATTGACCCGATGAGAAAAACCCCAGTCTTGAACAGCATGTACCATATAAGAACTGGATCCAAAATCCCTTACAGAAACAGAAAAAAAACAAAAACAAAACACACATTAGACGCAAGAGATGGAGATTTATTTGTGATATACATGAATCTAAAATTCTGGGTCTGAGATTCACAGCATTCAAAAGTAAAGTTGTTATGAAATGCATTATGAAATGCCAAAAGTGATTGAAACTATTCAAGAAAAAGGACATAGAGAACTTTTTAACATTTTCTTATACAAAATGAGTAACTCCATCAATATTACAATTAAATAATTTTTTTTTATCTATCATTGACTTTGGGACCATATAAAAACTTTTGTTGTGCATGTAATTCTTATTCTTATGCATATTGATCTATCTCAATCTAATAAAGTAGTTAACATCAATTCTAGGCTAATATGATTTATTTCAACATTCTGATGGATCAAGTCACACATATGCTAACTGGAGAAACTTACTTGATGGTGTAGAGGATGTTGTTTTATTTCCAGTGGATAATTTTGAAGAAAACTCACATTCTGAATCACACACACACAAAGGGAAAACGTTCTTAGTCGAAAATTTCGTTTAAATTTGTTCGATGGCCCGACAGAATTTCACACTTACCTTCCACTTCTACATAAACCCTGCTCATTGAAGACGTTGTTTGGCAGCTGTATGTTCCTGCATGATTATTATTTGCCCTTTCAAAAGAGAGTGTGATAATGTTCTCAAATTGTTGACCTTTCACCACTTTTTCATGGTTTTGTGGTCCATGGCATGTAAAATGACATGTGAGGGTAAAGTTTTGACCGGAGCAAACTTTCTGTCCTCCACTCAAACTGATGTTGGTCTGACAGCCACCTAAAAGAAATAATTACAGACATGTAGCTCTCCAAATACATAAAAAAAGTTACTACGTACCTTTTCCGAAACTTACCTCTTATATATGATGGAATCAACAGCAGCAAAATGAATTTCAGAAAGCACATGTTTGAACTGAATTGAGACCAACTGTTGAGGTTCAAGTAGAAATAGACTTTGCAGAGAGCAACTCACATGTCATGAACAAAAGGACATTACTCAGGCTGTGGCTTTGTATTTTATCAGCTGATGATCAACTAGATATATGTTCAAACAATAAAAATCCCTCAAATCAAAACAATTTTCACGTTTGAATGAAAAGGTCATCGAAATGAAATATCACCTGCAATGGCAGTGCAAATCTTGTGGCTCCCCATCACATAAATGTAAATAAAAAAGTATTAGATGTGAGGATTAAGACTTCTCAATGCTTCTTATTGTTTCAAAGTTAATGAGTATGCGCCATTTGTCTCCCAATCCACTAATTTAATTGGTTAAGTTTACAGTAGATGGGTTTGCTTTAAAGATTTGTGCAAAAGTTTTGCAATAATTTTTAAATGTCGATAAAAACTATTGCAAAATGACAGCATTTAACCGATGTTATGCGACTAAAACTTAAAAAATCATGGCAATGGATGCTGGTTTATGTAGCCTATATCCCAGCCACCTATAATTAAAGTAGACGTAGGGTGTTATCCAAGCATCCAGATTAATTTTAAAGCAATTCTATTTTAAAAAAGTATCGATTTATTTTTAGGAAAAGTATCAATTCTTTTTTAAAAAGAAATTATTTATTTTGAAAAGGTATCGATTCTTTTTTGCGAAAAGTATCGATTCATTTTAAGAAAAGTAGCGATTCATTTTGAAAAAGTAGCGATTCTTTTGAAAAAAAGTAACTGTTCTTTTTTGAAGAGTAGCGATTCATTTTAAGGAAAGTAGTGATTCATTTTGAGAAAAGTAGGGATTCTTTTTTGAAAAGAAGCGATTCATTTTTAGGAAAAGTGACGAATCTTTTTGGAAAAAGTAGCGATTGATTTTAAAGAAAGTATTGATTCATTTTAAGAAAAGTAGCAATTCCTTTTTTAAAAGAAGATAATTCTTTTTGAGAAAAGTAGCAATTCTGTTTAAAGAAAATATTGATTCTTTTTAAGAAAAGTAGCGATTATTTTTGAAAAAGTAGCGAGTCATTCTTTTTTAGGAAAAGTATCGATTCATTTTTAGGAAAAATATCGATTAATGTTAAGGAAAATTATCAATTTATTTTAAAGAAAATATCGATTTATTTTAAAGAAAGTATCGATTCATTTTTAGGAATAGTATCGATTCGTTTTCAAGAATCTATCGTTTCATTTTTAGGAAAAGTATGGATTCATTTTAAAGAAAATATCAATTAATTTTAAGGAAAAGTAGGCCTATTGATTCTTTTTGAAAAAGTAGCGACTCTTTTTGAGAAAAGTAGCGATTCAATTTAAGGAAAGTAGCAATTAATTTCATTGAAAGTATCGATTCATTTTTAGGAAATTTGGGTGCCTCAGTGAGGAGCTGTCAACCACAGCTGTCAATCATGACGTCATATTCCTGTTTTTATTGCATCAAATAACGAACTAAGAAAAACACTTAAACTTAAATCAGCGTGATAAAACCGTGACGTCATGACAGATCTCCTCTAATAAATGTGTATATATAAACGATAAATATATTAAAAAAACTGCAACTTTTGGAAAATAACCCAACTTGTATAACACATTGACTATGTTTTGTATCACGCAAAACAAAGTCAAAATTACAGTACAAACAGTAAAAACTGCAAATCTAAAAAAATAAATGTATAACATAATTAAATAA